GAGAAATTGCATTGTTGTTGAATTCAGCAGAAAATACGCGTATTTGACTACATTCAGCGAAAAATTATAATATGAGCACAGTCCGCGATCTAAAAATTAAAACACTTTTTTTTATCTTCAGGAATAGATCTTTCATTATGTTACTGCATATTTTGGATCCGAGGTTGTGCTCTATATAAGATATTGATTATCTATGATTCAATTTAGGCCATTTCAAAGAAATTTGAAGGATATTGGGAAAATGACGCATATTATGACGTCAGAATGCATTGACTAAAGGGAAACTTAGGTCATGTTCAATAGATACATGGTAACCAACAGTCCAAGTGATAAATATTGCATTTTCAACCTAAATTGAGCAGTTTTGTTTTTTTCGGAAATTTCCAGGCCAAAAAAGGCTGTAAGTAGCTCTTGCTCTCTGGAAATTGATTTAAAAGGTACATACACATGTATATTATTTCTCAAACTATAAAGTTCTTACAAAACATTAAACTTTAAGACACATACTTTTATTCCCAAAAGTACAGGGGTCCGTTTTACAAAAGCACTTACGACTAAGACCAAAATTTATTCTTCTCATAATTTTCTTATTTGCCTTGAATTGAAAATAATTTTAAACTTTTGAAATGGAATGTAGAAGGATATTTTCATAATTAGCAGTTTTAAAATCATTCATTAATTTTGCAAAATTTCAAAATCATCTAACGGTTTTGGCCTTAGTCGTTAGTTCTTCTGTAACATGACACCAGCCTGGGTAATAATTCTGTCTAAATCTGTTTATAAATGAATATCTTAATAAGAGATTGATTTGTCACTTTCCATTTTGGCAAATGTTGGAATGTTGAAAAACCGGCCATGTCCTGATATATCATAGCAAGAGTTTTTCTTGTGGGGCCTATCAGCTTTGTATGTCCGTCCTTTCCCTGTGTCCCATTAAAATGAACAAAGACAAAATATCAAAAAACGAAATAAATTTAGAAAAGTTTGTAGACAATTTTAAGCTGTTCAAGGGTAAAAAATTTCATGTAATTGATTATACATGTACAAATTTACAGGTTTTCCATTTTTCTGTAAATATGAAAGACCCCCCTTATGGCCCCATTCTAGCCACATCCAACCATTAAACGGATGTAGAGGAGGAATAAAACATCTAAGAGTTCAAATATTATTTTAAACGTCCCTGATATTATTTCCTCTAAACCCCAGAGTTATTATTAAAAAGAATTCAAACAACTTAGAAATGTTTTATGCTAAACTGAGGTATTGTGACGTATTAAGGAAGATGAGCTTCTCACCGTTGCGGGGAATATCCCCCCTTTCCGTTACTTAGTTTCGATAATTTCGAGACTATACTCTTAAAAAATATTTGTTTTAATTTTCTACATATTCCGAAATTAAATAACATTTCCCTGTTGTTACCCCCATTCAACACTGAGAAAGGGTTGGGATTTAACAGGAAGTTACTGAGGTTGTTTAAATTAAAATCTGACTACATGTATCATGACTCTTAAAAGAGATAATTAGATTGAATTTTTTGGAGAACATTTGAAAATCTTCTAGCATGCAATCTGACTAAATCAGGATCAACTGCTTATATCAAAGCGTCAGGCATACAAACTTTCTATCATTGTTAAATTCTATGAATTTAATAAGATATATTAATAATTATGAGGGGAAAAGAGAAATGCTATCAATTAATTTTGAACCAAAGAGCTCTACAAAAATGGTGTTTCATTGAGCTAAAAAGCTCTACAAAAATAGTATTTCATTCCTTTTTCGGACAATTATCTGATACCATATAATATAAATTGGTTGGCTGTAATTTACCAAATGTAGAAGATGACAAGGTCGTCATGAATACATGTTTCCTGATACATATAACAAGATCATCACAAAGCAGAGCATCCCCTCGCAAATACTATATCTATAAATCAAGACAATATTCTACATCAATCCAAAAAATACGAGGGGTGATCCAAAAGTTCGCGAACTATATCTATATTTACAAAACAACAATTCAGATCAAAATGTTTGGCACATCTATAGTCATGCACATGTTCTATAAACACCATATGAAATGTAATGATTTTCCCCATCATTTTGACGTCACAATGTAAAAATAACGTCAATATGTAGGTGACTCGTGACAAAAAAGTAAGATTGTCACTCGAGAAACGAACGGCTGTAAAGCTTAACGTTTAACTTGAATATTCCTTTGATGCATCTTATAATATTTTGTACACAGATAACGAAGACAATAGACATTCCAGACGTTCAATCATATATTTGATTGGTTGTTCTCGTAAAGGGAGGGAGATGATTAAAAATGACGTTTGTTTTGTAGTATAGCGAAAGCAAGCTGGGGAAGAGACGTGTCTTTTGTTGGGCGGATTGTTATGAAAGATCACGAAGTTACAGCTAGAAACAAAGTTGAATATCTTAACAATAATATTATTATAAAATCCCTAAAATATTGTTTACTCTAGACTTTAAACATATTTATTATGACAAAAAGAAGGCCCCTTTACTATATATATATCCATATTGGATAATCGACGTTCCCAAGACAGAGGACTTGGGTTGTGATGGTCAAATGCTCTTTCTGGGAAACGTTACCTTTATCCAACCATCTTATTTCCGAGATTTGGTCATTTCTGACAAATGAACTCTTCTTATCATAAAAATTAGCTTGCATGATATGAAATATAAGACTCGGAAAAATATTTTAGCCTCTTTGAACAGAATGCTTCGGAGCATGTCAGGTGACAGCTTGGATCACGTGATTCGAGCATGGGCTGAACAGTGGCAGATATGCATTAAAATGAGAGAGAGTTATATACTTTAAAAAATTATTTAACAGTGAATTATAATCTTATTTGTTTTATGGAAGTTCGTCCCTCGTACGTTAATTTCATTTCTCAGAGCACTATGATCTCACTTTCCACAAACACATACTCGTACACGTGAGATTGTGTTACTATACATTTATCCCTCTTAACGACGTTGCAAAGGGATTAAAATGCCAGAATATTGAGAACGTAAAGAAAGATTTATATAAAATTAATTTATCTTTAAATTTATTTTTGGTCTATATATTGCCAAGAACTTTCTAAGTATCCTCCGATAATACAATAGTTTTCTCTTCAATTTCGTTAACATTTGACACTCTGATGTTCTGTTCTATTGAGAATTGAAAATTTGAGATGAAATACAATCAAAATTTCAGCAATAAAAATAAACAATAAAAGTTTCTTACATTTTACATCTTTATTATTTATTTTTTAAATTAATGCCTTTACTAGCAAGGTTTTGCATGGTTCTTCTTCCATACAAATTAAACTCTTAGTAGATCGTTATACTGACTCCGGTACTGCCACGTTTCAGACAAAGCTAAATAGTAAAAATCCAAGGGTACTTTGTCCAATAAAAAGCTAAAAACTGACATGTTTAGGAGGTACTTGTAGCCAGCTGACACCTCGTGTATGAGTCCAACTGTGACTTGAAGGACTCTAACGTTGGTGTTGAGACGATGTGAAGAGTATCAAGCAATCTATTAAATGATGCTTTGTGTGCATGCACAGCACATGCTTCATGCATATTCTGCGCTTAGCTCATTTCTGTTTTGTCCTGAAAATAGAGAGCTGTGGATTATTTGATACATCAACATGGTTTGTATTCATTTTACCCTTTTAAATATACAGTCCATATTAGTAATTTATTTTTAAGAAAGTCTATTTACATTAAAAATGGAAAAAGAAGACTTTTAGAAAGTATACAACAAAAAGATGTTTCAATAAAATATACCGCTTTTTCTTTCCTGCTCTATATTCATCTATGCAATTTCTTTTGAAACTGACAATGCTCCAGATTTATCAGAGAGAGAGAGAGAGAGAGAGAGAGAGAGAGAGAGCTTGAATTTTTATATGCATAACATTAAGGTGTTAAAATTGTTGGGATGCGAAAGAGATGATGGTAGTTATGTCAAAATTAACTCAATAATATGTCGTTCCTAATATTTTTCTTGGATAATTATCCATCCCAGTTCCATCCTTCCTGTTCAATATACCGACCATTTTACTGCTTTAAAAGTCAAGGGTTGTAATGGTTGCTTGAGTCACACAGATCTGTTTCCCTGCTGAGACAGTTTTGGTATACTCCTTAAATAAGTCAATGGCAATTTCTTATATTTTTATTTGTAGCTTTCCTTTTTCTGAGGATGAAAGTGTGATTTTACTTAGATATAGTCTAATATTTGTCATTGACCTCCAACACAGACTACGACTTCATTAACTGGTGAAATTCAGCTTTATTGTACAATGATCTTTATCGAAGACTTTCTGTAAGGATATGGCTTAAAAGTTACCCTTTTCAAATGAAGTCGTTTTTGACGGGCCAAAAATTTATGAAACATTTGAAAATAATGGATTTCTGATTGCTTCTGAAATCAAAATAGAACGTCATGAACATGTAATTTGTTTTCAATATTCAAACCTAGATCATAGCCACAGTCGTTGTCTGAAAGTGTGGAGACTGTTATGTTGAAATCTTTGAATTAACCGGGTGGCAAAAAATGCAAAATTAAAGAAGTAAATTTTGTATTAGAATTTACAGCATGACAAAATTTAATTAAAGCAATTTGAGCTGCAACTTTGATGCTGACAATTTTTGTTACAGTATTGTAATTAACTATTTCAATAACACAAAAAGAATATTTTTAAACTTCTGTTGCTCAAGAACTATTAATATGCCTTGAATGAAGAAAATTTACATTATTATCGACCTGTATAATAATGAATTCTTATACATGTATAACATACTTGTCTATACATTCCATTGTACATAAACCTTTCATTTAGGTCTAATTGAACATAAAGTATTACATTCAGGTTTATCAGAATAGCAAAATAAAATTCTCAAAAATGCTGCTCATATTGCTTTAACAAAATGTAATTAAAGTGTTTAACATGACTGTATATTTTTTTCTATTTTAGAAATGTCTGGTTTTATGGATATTGTCAAGCTTCCTGTTGGTCTGGATAGGATTTTATCCAGTATCAGCTAGGTAATATTCGTTTTTAGACAAAATATTGATATAAATGTAAAACAGTAAAGTTTTTCAATCATTATCTCTTGTTCTTTGTAGCAAATTGCTAGCCGCATTTCCAAAAATAGTGCGACCAGGATCCCCTTTAATTGTAAACTGTCACCTGTTACAACGTGGAAGCCAAAATTTAATGTTAGAACTGGTAAAGGATGGAAGATCAATACGTCAAAACACTTCTACTGTCACTTTTGGTAATTTTAACAATATTTAGTAATTTGGTAACTTCAATAAAATTAAAATAACTTTCTTGCAATTATCTTATTTAAGAAATAAATAGCAACGCAATATATGACTTCAATTTCGTACTATATGATCGTTATCAAAAAAATTGAGTAAAACGGAGGCAGGTTTCATGGGTACATGTACATGCATGTCGACGAAAGTGAGATTTATTGCAGTCCGAAGGACCGGGTTGTTCTATACATATAAGTTTCAGTTTTTGTGTATGGGATTGAGGAGTGAGAAGTTATTTAGAATTAAAGGTTATCTAAACATTAAAAAGATTATAAATCAGAATGTTCTTTACCTTTATAAATTACGAGATACACAATATACTAGTATTTACTTCATTCAAAAATATATTTGTTTTTTATATTTACTAAAAAAAAAAGCTGCTTATCATTTACTATAAAAAAAACATTGAATTTTACTTATCGTTCAAAAACGTACGTTTCGCAGTTCGTGTTTTTATATTCTTTTTCAGCTACAGTGTATATGATCATCGGTTGAGTTTCCCAATGTTTAAAAAAATTCAACACAGTTTGTCAGAGTGTTTTAAATATCCCGACGTATCTTCATAAATACACTTATCACAGCTCCACCAATCATACATGTAAATCCTTAAAAAATTTTGCAGACTTTTCTGCTATGAACCCTCAATCATTAACTCTACAAACATTCCTCTTTAAATGCAGAGCCTTTCCTAATTTTATTTTTAATTTTGTTGTAGGAAAGCAGCATAATATCATGTTAAATGTAAGTAAATCAATACACGTCATACCAATATACCCGGTACATTTACATGTATATATGTTTCATACGTACACTGCATGTACATCAAGAATATATACGTTTATCTTGTAAACATTATAATTCCCTTTACATATAACCGAAATCTATCTACAATATACATGTTTGTATATATACATGTAATATGTAAACTTGCCATAATATATGTACATTAATACGTATATTAACAATATACATGTACGTATAACCAAAGCCTATCTATTTACTTAGGTACCGCCTGATTTGACATCTTCAAAGAACTTAAGAGTCAAACTATCATACGGTGGAGATTCAATTGTGTCACCTATTCAGTATGATGACCTCAAGAGTGTCATTTTGATACAAACCGACCGTGGAATGTATTCCAAAAATGAAGAAGGTATATATAAATTTTTGTTCATGAAATTTCATTTTCATAGACTTAATGTATTTCATTGAATTTACCATTGTTTGAATTTTTTCTTTCATTAGTGAAAATGAGAATTGTAACATTGACTCAAAGTTTGAAACCGTTAAAAGCACAGATCAGTGTTGCCATTTTTGTAAGTATAAAGGTTTTTTTTTCAAAACTTAAGGTATTCACATTAATCTAAATGACAGAAATACTTATATTCATGATAATAAACACTATATCAATACACTTTAAATTACCTGATTTTAAAACATTTAACATTTATTTAATAAAGTTATTGTGTTACAGTTTCCATGAGCATATTGTAATCAATTTTCACTTTTTTAAGAACAAATCAAGAGCCTCGAAATCAAAAAAATTGAAATTGCTGAAAAGGGCTTTGCTGAATTAATAGTCTCTATAAGACAAAATGTTAAATGTTTTATTAAAAAATCACAGAATTTAGGTTGTCATTTTTCACCCAATAAGGAGTCAGGTATCGTAAAATTTAAATGGGTGTTAAACCAAAAAAATGTTAACATATTTCAATACTTTTGATCATTAAATATCAAGAGCTATATTTACATACACCTGCTTTTATAACTTGTCATTCACATCAAATAAAGGAATGGACTTTTTAGGTTCTCTAATTCTTAAATTCATAGACCAGATTTTTTTAATGATTTTTTTTTCGTGAAATTTTCAAAAGGATAATACTCATTTATATTTTTGGAAAGGAAATAAGGATAAAGTGTTAGGACGTTCATACCATACTTTCTCATTCCTTTTCCAGAATGCATTTTTTCCTTTCCATTTCCTAATTAAAACTACGGTACATTGGAATTATAAACTTTAAACTTTGTAGGATAGGAAAAATAAACTAGTGCAACAATGGTTAAATGTGCGAGGAGTATTGGGTGTATTTTCCAGAAAATTTTCCATTCCGGGTGATCCTAACACTGGGCAGTGGCGTATTGTTGTCGACGATACGGTATGACTCCTTGATCAATTTCTATATACATTAATCGTAACTCCTTCAAATTTTAATCGTTGCATCATAAAGAAGATGGGGGATAAGGCGGACAAAATGCTATAGTGCGACATTTAAGAAGTGAAAAAATAAATCTCAATTATATCCAAATTTTATTTGATACAGTATTTCATCTAATACTTAAGTATACTAAATGTAAAATCTCTACAATTTACAAAATCCCATAAAAACTAAAAATATTTGCCTATGAAAAAGCATATACACACAAAACCAAAAATATGGCTTGAAATTAAAAAGCAACCTTCCTGACAAAAATTTAGTTGGGAGTTTAATATAATCATTGGATAAAGAAGAAACGGGATCTCGGCGACATTCAACTGAAGATCGCGAAGGTTCTACCCTATAGGTTTGTTGATACATGCAATCATTTCTCGTATCCCCATAGCTTTCAAAGAAAGAAAATCAGTGTAAACTCAACATAAAAATGCACTTATGACATATAAAAATCATTGCCATTTGAAGTACAAATTGTATTGGAACTGCAGAAAGATTTTTTGTTTGACATTTTGCCGCGATGACGTATGATTTGGTGGATTTTCCTTTCCTGTACCCCAATACACAAAACGTCAACATTTGTACTTAATCATGTTAAATTCGTCTGAATGCAGACTAAAATCTTAACTATTATTATTTACCAGAGAGTTAAGATATTTTGATTCTGAGAATTTACCTAATATTCCATTATAATTGTAAACCCTACAGTGTATGCACGTGCCATTTTAGAATTCACGTGGTACAAGTAAACAGATCTAAGTTGTATGACCTTTATTTTCCGGCAGATTCTAAAATTACGTTAATATTGTATGAGGAGAGTATATTTATTTTTTCTCAAAATGCTTACTTCAACTTTTTACCTTATTCCTGAATGATATACAGTATTGGATAAATTGGAATGAAAAAGCACACGATTGCAGCCATATTGCCGCTTTAAAAGTTTGCAATAAAATAAACATTTGTAGGTATTGAGCGATGACCCACTATACCTTAAAAGTACACTTTTATGGCAAAACATTCGCATCTTTCCGAGAAAAACTTCAAGTCCATTAAGTCAAGGGTCATATCACAAACATGATTTAAATGCCTACAATCATCATGAGCCATGTAGCGTAGTGGTTAGACTAGTGCATTAGTCTCAAAGCAGTATGATACTTCGGATTTTCATTGCTAGGGTTTGAATCCCACGAATACCATCTAATATTTTTATAAAAGAAACATTTTTACGAGATAACTTTTTCTCTCAGAATAGGTTTTTTCTCATAATATCATACATTTCAAAAATGAGAAGTTAATTCAAATACTCAATTCACATACTGAATATAATTTCTTAATATCTGATGCTATAGGCATTCTGCCCGCCTTGTTCCCCCATCTTCGTTTTATATTCCCTCTTTAATGTTTGGATTTTCTTCGTGCATTTAGAAAAGGAAAACAGAAAAAACATTCATAGTTCGAAAATATGGTAGGTAAAGTTTTAAAGTATGTTTGTTCTGTATTTTTTGTAAACGTATCTTGAGTGTACTTTCAATTATTAAGTTTAACTTTAACTCATTGTTAACTTATTTTCCATATCTAAATTAATTATCTAAAGACCGATTTGATCTTTCAAAAGGATTATACGGTTTATAGCATACATGTATACCTTATTCTTGTTTGAAACAGTTGTTCCAAAGTACAAAGTTGATATATCATGTCCCAAGTTTTTCACCAGATCTACAAGGAGTTTGCGATGCCTTGTCAAAGCTAGGTAAAAGTTTTGAAAGGATATTATCGATTAGGTCTGTGAATTTAAAACATGAAATTTTTTTTTTTTGGAAAAATTCAGTATATTTTTTATGTGACATTTCTTGCAGAAAATGTGTTTTAATTAACAAGTGCGATATTTGGCGGAATCTGATTGTTCGAAAAGTTATTGTAGATTTGAAATGATTTTGAAAATTCTGTAGGTATACGTTTGGCAGAAAAGTAAATGGTGTAGTTCATGCCCAGCTTGTAACAAAGACGAGAAACGGTGACAAGTTTTTATACAATCATCATGATAATGTAAGTATTTTAAAGCAACATAAGCTTTTGATCATTTACTAAATTCTCTCTTACAGTTCACTATGTAAGTTTCTTTTCCAGATAAGAGGAGAGTTTTGGATAACGACGACGAAAATTACTAGCATCAATTTCGAAAACGATATCGAAGTAATAGCTCGAGTAAGCGACCCTTCCACTGGCACAACTGTCGTCAATTCAGCTGTCATAAATTTCAAACGAGATGCAAAAATGATATGGTCTTTGGAACCGATTAGAAAGCATTTTCAACCGGGATTGAAATTTGTTACATTCGTGAGTTTTCAGCAATATGCTTTTACAATGGGATAATGTTACTGTCTAACTCTTAGTTTTGTTATTTAAACGAAACTGAAATGCCGTAATTGTTTTCCCAATTTTAAAGATATAAATGAGTATTTTTAATCAATTACATACATGTTTTTATGTCTTTTTAATATTTTGTGAAATCTTTTACGGAATGATATTTTAAAAAGTATTTCAAGAATCTATTATACAATAGAATATATATCAAATTATATTCAATATGAATCTTTTTTTATGTTTTAGATGAAATTTCAAAATTTGAAGAGTTACCGAATGCTTGTCTCTGTCAAAATGACCAAGAAAGCGTTAAAGACATGTTTTGGCGTGTATAAATATGTGGATATCTCTTCCGAAATGAAAACGAAACATGTCTCTGTTGATAGCCATGGTTACGGCAAACTCACTTTAAATATTGATACTGATGTAATGGAGTTAAAATTAATTGTAAGTACATTTAAATTTCGTACAACTTTATACAAATAATATGTCAGATATATTAATATTTACTACAGTAAATACTTTGGAATTTTAATTAACCATAATGAAAACTTTGATTTACAATAGTAAATACTTCAAACTTTGTTTACTTTTGTGAAAACATTAGAACTTTGATTAACTATAGTTTAAAAACATAGGAACTTTGATTTTAAACTATAGTTTACTTTAGTATTTTTTGTTAATAATGTAGTGCTTACTGAATTAAAGATTTGAAATTTAATATTTTTCTTTTGATAGACACATCACCAATCGGACAGACATGAGGAGACTCTTTCCCCAGCGACGAGACCTGGTCTAGCAATTCTACCTGAACATTATCTTGGCGTGGTTAGATCAATTTTACAAAATCAATTATGGAAATTTTAAGATGCAATGTCTTTTTAATGAAACCTTTATATTTTCTATCAGATATATTTTAAAAATCATTTTTATAAACTGCCAATTTTTTATTATCAAATACCTTCGTTTATGGTTATTTATGATGGGGAGAGGGTTAGAGATACACCACAGAAATTGGATATAAACTAGAATTGCTTCTAGAAACGGCGTACTATATCTGATATATATCTTACCGTAGGTTGGATCTTCTTTAAAATTTCAAATTGTTACCAAATCATCAGTAAAAGGACCTCTTTGGTACTCTGTAAGTATATCTGCACTACCTAATATTTGTTTTATCACTTTAATTTTCTTAATACCCCCCCCCCCCATGTTCCCAACAATCATTAGGCAATCTATAAAATTGAGAAGTATTGAAATAATTTTTAAAAGGAATCGCAACTTTACATAAAGAGCACACTGTCATAAGTAACTGATGTATTTCAGATAACCTCCAGAGGAAGTGAAATAAGTGGTGGTAAATGCAGTGATGGCTCGAGATTTAGTTCCAGCTTTACCTGTTCCTTAATGATTGAACCTAACTTTTATCCTGCTTTTCAACTTTTATTTTATCATGTTAAATCTGACGGAGTTGTTATGAGTGATTCTGTGCATATAAAAGTACGAGGAAACCCAACAAAGAAATTTGTAAGTTTGTTAAACGTTGAGTTTCTTGTTGAACCTTATTATTTCTTCAAATCAATTTCCAATACATACATTCCATCTTCTTTCGCCATATTTCAATTCAATATTCTAATTGACAAATATCACAATATGCTGTTTTATTGAATAAAATATGCAAAGGAAAATAGAAGAATTTTAATCCAATGACAATTAATGATGAACATTTGAATGCAAAACCAAGAAGAACATATAATTGAATTGAAAAACGGAAATTGGAATGAATTAGTAAATATACATGTCACATTTTGAATTTCAAAAATAAACTAGAGTTTCATTTTATCAGAATCTTCAAAATAATTAGTGAAATTAGAAACTTCTTTAACATATAACAAAAACTTCTTACTTTTATCTTTGAATTAATATAGTGTAATATTATAGTACATATAATTATGTACTTTATGGAATTTTTCGCAAAGAAAAATAACCATGATGATTTGTCATATTCCTTAAGTAAAATCTTTTTCCACTTTTATTACAATAGTTCAGCATTTCTAAAGACAAAAGAGGAACTTATAAACCAGGAGAAAAGATACAATTTACTTTGCGATCACATGGTTCACCTCGCACCTCTGTTGTTCACATTATGGCCATTGACGAAGCTATACAGAAATCTCAGTCTGGATTTGATATAACGATGCATGACGTAAGCAAATGTATTCAATACAATAGTATTGTTAAGTTTTCTTTACTATACTATACTACGCTATGCTATACTATACTATACTATACTATACTATACTATACTATACTATACTATACTATACTATACTATACTATACTACACTATACTATACTATACTATACTATACTATACTATACTATACTATACTATACTATACTATACTATACTATACTATACTACACTATACTATACTATACATGTACTATACATGTACTATACATGTACTGTACTGTACTGTACTATACTGTACTCTACTGTACAGTACAGTACAGTACAGTACCAGGCTTGGGGCGAATTACATTGAAAGTATATGCATTACCATTACCATAACTTCAACAACTTGGGCATTAAATTACCATTACCATTACTCTATTTTCTTAAAGTAATGCATTACATTACCATTACTTTAGTAAAGTAATGCATTACCATTACCATTACTTTTGGAGGTTTTTAAAAATAGAATTTTATACAAAACTTTGCAATATTTTTTTCATATTAGCATGAATCCACCAGGCACGTAGCATCGTTTTTGAAAGTGGGGGGGGGGGGGCCAACAAGAGAATTTTTTCTTTTACCTACCTGTAAAAGTTGACAAGCAAAAAAAAAAAGGCAATTGCCCAAACTCGAAAATCCTATTTCGTGGGGTGGGGAGGGGAGGGGGGGAGTGGCCAACTTTTTCCAAGACCAACTTCCTTTTACTTCCAATTTTTTTCCATTCAATACTACATTTCCTTCATATCCTTCATATCACTATACTGTGGTAAGAAGTGGGGGGGGGCAAGCAACCTTTCAAGGGACATTTTCGATAGTAATGTTGGGAAAAAAAGTGGGGGGGGGGCAGCCCCCCCCCCTGTTGCTACGTGTCTGCCCACCCCCTTCAAAACTAAATATGATAAATGATAATTCAAATTTGATTTCAAGTTTTTGTATATATTACAATATCATTAACTTTCAATCAAAGAAAGTTAAAAGTTCTGAATTGTCAGTTTTCTAACACGTACAATATCCACGTTTTGTGTAACTATTGAAGTCATGAAGTAATTTAACTTTTGGTGCACTTTAACCCCTGCCTAAAATATCTAATAATAAAGCATATAGGCTATTTTGATTAGTACCTTATGAAACATATAAATGCATTGACAAACTTTTTGAAAAAGTAGACAGGATGTACACAGTGAATCGTAGAATGCCTGCATGGCTTCTATTTTCTTTGATACAATGGATTTTTCATGGTCAGTACAAGGTAAATCAGCTCAATTAATGTTTTATAAACACAGTCAGGAGAAAAGGACTGGTAATTTGGAGCACTTCTCCAAACAATGCATTGTTTTAACTGTTACATAACCCAGAGGCATAGTATGTTATAAAATAAATAACCTAAACAATAATTTCCATCATCCATGTCCATTTAAATGTCTTGAAATAGGTACTTATCTTACAAAATAATGCTGTGTAATGCTATGTAATGCCAGCATTACACTGGATTTTATGAAGTAATGCATCACATTACCATTACATGTAATGCAAATTTTGGGGCATTACACATTACTAGCAGTACTTTGAGTTCATGTAATGCATTCAATGCATTACCATTACTATTAGCATTACCCCAAGCCTGTACTATACTATACTATACTATACTATACTATACTATACTATACTATACTATACTATACTATACTATACTATACTATACTATACTATACTATACTATACTATACTATACTATACTATGCTATAATATTTTGAGATGTTATTTTATATTTCTAAGCGTGAATATCAAAAACGCAAAGTTCTTAAATAATTAATATAAATTCTAAGTCTTCTTTGGAAATAGCGAAATTCATGTCTTTTGGCAATGATACAAATTCGAAGTTAATATTTTCTGTATAATATCACGACTTATATAATGAGATAGCATTTCACACGAAAAATATATATATAATTATAATAGCTTATTTCATCTAAAAGTCATTGAAACTCTCAATTTTAGATGGGTTTGATTGACACATCCGTGCACTTTCACACATTTTACTTTTATTCTTAATACTTAAGAAAAGTGACAATCTTATTCTGTATTAATGAAAAATATTAAAATTTATCAAAAATAAATTACATGAAAAATCTTTTTCTCATGGACTTTTCGCAGCACTCATGGACTTTTTGCAGTAGACTATTTTTATTATTATATCTATAAGCAATGAGCTCTAAATGAAATTAAGATATAAATTAGATAAGTACCATATACCTTATATTTTTCTTTTAAAGACAGTCTTATTTACTTTCGTTTCAGATTCAATCATTACTAAACGGAATAGTCTTCTCTGGGACTCAAAAGGTAGGTATAAATTAGTTGTTGTAATAGTCATATACTCAAGGTATAAGTTCTAACACACATGTAGACATCATATCGCACCAGGTCCTTCTCTCAATTTGTCTTTAAGTAAAGATGATGCCTCTGGGATGGGATAAAGTTTAACCATGATTATTCTGCATATTGTATTTTTGAAAAACAGATTTTAAACTATGTTTTTTTGTAATACAGATTTTAAACTCTAACGAATTCTTTGCATCCAGTAATTCTCTGTCAAAATGTGACTGTACTATTGACACCTCAGTGCAAATTTATTCTATGTGCATCTTAAACAAAGTGGTCGGCTGATTATTATATATTCTTCCCTCAAATTGGATCAGTACCTCATTGTCTATGGATAATTCCATGATCAGTTGTATTGATAGATAATGTTAAAATTTTCCAACTTAATGTACTTTCCCAAAAAAATCTGAATACTTTTCCTGTTGACCATTTTAAGCCACATCAGCGAGCTTTGTTCATTTTCTAAGACAATCAACAGACCTCTAACTTTTTTGGAACATTTTTGTATAAATTATAGCACAGAAGAGGTAAATTCAACAATTTTCTGTAACAGTTAAACTTTGAGATGTCAGTAATTTCAGAATTTTTTTGTTCCTGACGCCAGGCTTTACAATTCTCTGTTCTTGTGAATATCCTTCTGGTATCCACATTTCTAAGATTTTGTTAATGTTTGGTTTTTAGTAGTCTCATAATTATAACTAGATGCTGTCATGAGACAGTAATACCCGCACTAAGGTGTTTGCCTCTAAATACACACTCCTTCAAATCGGGCTTTACCAAGGAAAAAGTCAATATAATTCAATAATTTACATAATACATGTATTCATCAAATTGAGCATAATATTCTCAAGTGACCATGTGACCCATGGACCTCGATCTTATAGGTATTTCATATTCTTAATTCATTACCAGTCTGAAATTAAACAACAGAATTTAATTAATGATGTAAATTAGGTTTGATAAAGGGGGGATATAAATTTTTGGCCCATAATTAGAACTTTTTAATTATATTTTCTTATATAGATCAACTACAAATAATATTATTCAAATTAGTGTAAAGCGTTTTTGATGATTTTTTCAAAATGTACAAACTTTTTTATATTTGATTAGGCAGAAACACATTGAAAGCTGCCATATAGGCCTACCCAATCAATTTAGTCAACCCCCACCCCTCTCTCATCAATACACACACACACACAGAAATACATCCTATTTGCCTGTTTTTGGAAATAGGCCTAGATGGCAAAGTTAAGATAAAACATCTTTTGTAAATGATAATTTTAAATTTGTTCTTGTACTATAAATGTATCTGAACACCTGCATCACATTGGGCTTGCGTCACGTACCCAACTTAAGTACTAGTTTTACCATAATCATTTTTATAGATAGCACTGCATGTGCAGTACTAGTGTGGTGTGTACACATCATTGCATGTATGTCAGTTGGAATCATTTTGTGTTTTAATTGGATTATTATATTTCATGAAGTTGAAGGGACCTATGACAGTCGGTAAGTACAAGTTTTGGTATAGATTTGGGTAAAATAGTCTGAAATGCTACTGGTTAGGCTAAAGTTTCAAGGATCAAAGGTCATCCGATGCTGCAATAAGACGAATTTCACATTCCGAAGAGTTATCGCCCGTTATCGACGTTACATTCAGTTACAAGATACAGAATTTTTTTTTCTAGGAGGGAGGGGGGATTTCCAGACCAGAATTTCCTGAGAAGCAAAAAAAAAAAGAGAAGTTATGGTGGGGTCTGTTTCCAGGGTGGAGGGCATCCAAAGTCATTTTTATTTGCTTCAGTATATATTATAGTCCTACAAATTCTGAAGGGGGGATCTCCCAATCCACTCCCTTTCCCTGTAATGACAAATGATCATGTGACTCCTAAATAGTAGGAAACTTTTTTCCATTTGACTATACATAATTTTGTTTTTTGTGTCATTATGTTATGTAAATTTAATGGTATAAAGGTTATGAACCACAGGAGGTCATCCCCACTCTCCTAATGAACTGGAAATGTTCACAATATGACTGCATTAAATTAAATAAAAGTGCATCAATGATAAGATTGCTTGACATTTTATTCATCAACCTATCCTCCTAGAATTAGGAATGAAAATCATTCAAAGAGATGGACCACATTAAAGTATTTGACGTATATATTAACATTTTTTTTATGTAAAAACAATTTACATATATATATAACTTTTGATTGAAAAGAGATGGGACTTTCATATTTGACATGTACATTACCTGCAACAAAATATTTCCGAGCATGCTTTGACTTTTCCCCCTTTGACCTAATTTTCATAAATTGACATATGATAAGGGTGCATATTTGACACACAATCTGCCATAAATTATGGCATCCCATTCACTGAAACACAGAAAGCAGAGGACCACAATTCCTTGAATTTGCTTGTATACTCATATAATGTAGATTCAAGTTTTTTATGCCAAGTCTTGATTAGGCCTAGAAAAAAAATGTTTGTTTCCGCTTTCAGGCTGAAAAAATATTGGGTAAGTAGGTAGGTAGGCAATTTTTTTTTATTTTTTTTTTCTTCTTTAATCAAAATGTGTAATAGAGGTAACATTAATAACAAAAGAAATAGTGTTTTCAAGCATTTCTATGACAAACTTATAATAGAAAGGTGACCTAAACTTCTTTCTGTCTTCAAAAGCTTTCAAATTGGAGACTATAATTCCCCGGCTGAAATCTTCCACTTCATGAGACAAAAGCATTCAAAAAATTTTAGGGTCGGCACTGTAAATTAGGGTCGGTCGGGAAAGCGGAAACAAAGATATTTTTTTCTAGGCCTTAGGAATACATGTATCATATTTGTCATGCCCGTCCTCCACCCTTCCATCTGTCTTTCCATCGAGCTCAAAGAAACGTTCTAGATATTTTTATCAAAGTTAATCTGTTGATGCATATACTGATGTAAACTACCCAACTGCAGCAATATTTTTTGATCTTGACTTTCCTTTGACCTTCATTTAACTTTTCTAAAAATTAGTGTTTAGCTTTATTTTAAAGAAACCATTCAAGTTGTGTAATGAAACTTTACATGATGATACATAATGATGTAAGCTTTACAATGCTTCATTATTTTTACCTTGACATTTCCTGTGACATTGGCCTCACTTTTCTAAAATTAATGTCTAGATCAGTTTTGAATAAACAATTCAAGATATATTTATCAAACTTCATATACTAATACATACTGCTGAGAGCAATTCATGCATCAACTTATTTTGACATTGAATTTTCTTTTGACCTTGACCTCACTTTTTAAAATATGTGTTTATCTAAGTTTTAAATAAGCCATTAATTACATTTTTATCAAGCTTCATATGCTAATAGTAAATTCACACTGATGTAAGTTTTTCAACTGCAACAACATTTTGACCCCAACCTTTCCTTTGACCTCTCTTTTCTTAAAAAAAACTGTTAAGCTCAATTTCATAAAATCATTCAAGATATTTTTATCAAACGTAATATGCTGATATGTATAAGTGAGAGCTATTCAAATGCATCAAAAACTTCACCTTGCACATTCCTTTGACCTTGACCTCCCTCCTCTTTAATTTGTATTTTGCTTATTTTTAAAGAAATAAATTAAGACATTTTTGTGTTTAGCATGCACTTATACATAATTTGGTGAGAATTTATCTATATCCAATTTATTTAGATTTTAGTTTCAATTCTAAAGAAACTGTTCAAGATATTTTCATCAAACTTTAAACACTAATACAAATTTTCATGCAGCATTAGTTATATACATTTTGCGGGACATTCATGTCCTATAGACATATTTCCAGTTTTTCAAATCAACACCTCAAAGGCTAGGGTCAGGCCACAATTAGGGATCAAAGTTTTATTTAGGATTGAAAGGAAAAACATCTTCAAAATTCTTCTTTTCAAGAACAACAAGAGCATGATTAATATAAAAACATTCTCAAGAGGTGCATATTCAACCTTGTGCAAATCATGACCCCCCTGGTTAGGGAGGAGCCATTTTTTCCTGCCCCTTTTTGTCATCCACATGAAAATTCAAATTTTGAAACCATTTTACACATACACAAAACAAACCAATAATTTTCCAAATGATCATGGTTTAAAGCTAGTGCATAAAATATTAGGGAAGTTCTTAAAAGCAGGGTGATTAAACATATCATATATATATATATATATTAAACGTCTATATGACATCACCAACCATCTCTTAATAGATGATTAGGCTACTGAGTTAATGTAAGAGTAGTTCAGGGAAGACGGGGCTTTTTGCATAAAAAACATCATTTTTCGACCCCCATTTGACCCCACGGGGCAAAATCAAAATTCCAAAACTTTACTGCACATCTACATGACACCACCAAACATTTCTTAAAAGATGATTAGGCTAATGAGTCAAATGTAAGAGGAGTTCAGGGAAGACGGGGCTTTTTGCATAAAAAGCATCTTTGTTCAACCCTCATTTGAATATCGGGGCAAAATCAAAATTCCGAAACCTTACTGCACACCTACATGACACCACCAACCATCTCCCAGAAGATGACTATAGGCTGCTGAGTAAAATGTAGAAGGAGTTCAGGGAAGACGGGGCATTTTGCATGAAAAACATCATTTTTCGACCCCCTTTGACCCCCCAGGGCAAATTCAAAATTCCGAAACCTTACTGCACATCTACATGACACCATCAACCATCTCCCAAAAGATGATTAGGCTGCTGAGTAAAATGTAGAAGGAGTTCAGGGAAGACGAGGCTTTTTGCATAAAAAATGTCATTTTTCGACCCCCATTTGATCCCCCAGGGCAAAATCAAAATTTTGAAACCTTACTGCACATCTACATGACCCCATCAACCATCTCACAAAAGATGATTAGGCTAATGAGTAAAATGTAGAAGGAGTTCAGGGAAGACGGGGCTTTTTGCATAAAAAACGTCATTTTTCGACCCCCATTTGACCCCCTGGGGCAAAATCAAAATTCCGAAACCTTACTGCACATCTACATGACACCACCAACCATCTCCCAAAAGATGATTAGGCTGCTGAGTAAAATTAAGAAGGAGTTCAGGGAAGACGGGGCTTTTAGCATAAAAAACGTCATTTTTCGACCCCCATTTGACCCCCCAGGGCAAAATCAAAATTCCAAAACCTTACTACACATCTATATGACACCACCAACCATCTCCCAAAAGATGATTAGGCTGTTGAGTAAAATTAAGAAGGAGTTCTGGGAAGACGAGGCTTTTAGCATAAAAAATGTCATTTTTCGACCCCCATTTGACCCCCCAGGGCAAAATCAAAATTCCGAAACCTTGCTACACATCTACATGACACCACCAACCATCTCCCAAAAGATGATTAAGCTACTTTGTAAAATGTAGGAGGAGTTCAGGGAAGAAAAGTGTGACAGACGGACGGACAGACGGACGGACATGAGTAACAACAATATACCCGAACTTTCTTCAGAAAGTGCGGGTATAATGATCATGTTTTCAGACCTTGAGAGTAAGATAACTCTTGTGATTTCGCTTGTATATTTGATTTGAACTTTAAACTTTGTAGAAAGCCCTCTTAGATCTCATTGCTATACAGCTCGCAACAAAAGATATTCAATTCAAATAGTAATATGCCATGTTTCCGAATATTTTTTTTCATCGGGAAAATTACTTCAAAAGATAAAAATATATATAACAAAAATATTTTCAATAAAAATCTTACATGTTCTCAAATCAAATTACACGGCGTTTAGCAACAAAAGTTTTCAAGTTTCTGTTCCATATCCATGAACCTTTTGACCGTACACCTAATGTTAAATGTTTATTTCAAAATTTAGGTACATCAACCTGATTTTAGGTCACCTGAGTCACACAAGTGTTACGTACTAGCCAAGTCTCTATTAATTTGCATTCCTAAAAGAAGTCATTCTCTTTTGCCATTCAATTTTGTAAATAACTTAGAAAATAATGCATTTAGTATTATTTAGAGAACGAGACGGGTTCTGTATCGAAGATACAAATTTGGGGGTGGACGAGTGCGTGGCACGAGTCTCCACCCCAAAATTTGTATCTACGATACAGAACCTGTCGAGTTCTTTAAATGATTCGTGACACGATTATCAAAAATAGTCCCGCCCATTTTATAACTTTGCAGCATTCAAACTTCCGCCAGAGTTCTGTAGATGAGGCCCCACGGGGCTGTATATATTTCCACGGAAAACGTAAAATTCTGTCAGATTAGTTTTGACAATTCAACGGGGTAGACGTAATTGAGTGATAGTCAGTCTTAAAGGATAAGGTGGAGGATTTAACTGTCATTGTTGTGATTCATTGTAGATGGAGATTGATCATAATATATTTCAGGGGTCTTAAAATTCCGGCTTAACTAGATTTACGAAAGCAGAATTTACAGAAATTCTTCGATGGACTTTGATGTCACGGATTTTTATTTTTTAATTGAATTGCGACATTAAAACGAAGTGAAAGAGAGACGTGTCAGCGAGAAGGATTTAAAAAAAACGCGGAAAAAATGGACTTGAATGATTATGCACGAGGAGAGTGAATGTTTTCCGTTATTGAAAATTTTCCGTTTCAACCAAAATTACGTGTAGAGGATATTTTCCGATATTACGAATTTCCCTTATAGTTTGGATCGAAATTACGTGTAAATTCTACGTGGAATAAGTTTTTAAAAAGTGATTGAGAAATTTTGACATTTTATATTCTCAGGAAAATACCGGGTATTTCTCCAAAATTTATAATAGGAAAACATCACCATTTACTATTTGTACGTGCTTTTGCTAAATTGAATCAGATTTATTTTCAGACCGTGCCGTATTTTAGATACAGAATAGTTGGGAATACAATACTGTATACAGGGCTAATACAGAACCGAAAGTAGCTCTTCCCACCACAGTCCCGTTCTGTATTGCTAATACAAAACAGTAAACTTCAAAGACAAACACCGCTATCGTGTCACAATTCTATTTTACACACGGTACTTTCATTGTTTTGATGATTTGATAGGCTAGTATATAATAGATAACTTTAAATTAAACAAAATAGCTCATTTTAATAAGAGTTCTTCAAAGACCAAGAGAGGCCAATATGAGAGGTTACAATAAGGGATTAAAACGGTACAGGAGCAACTGTAAGTCGGTGCGGTGTTAACGTTAAATGGGGAGAGAGGGCGATTATGACTCCATTAATGAGTTGTTACTGAATACTAGTCAAATTGTTTCATGGATTCTGATCATCCCATTTCCACTGATTTTTGGGCGACAAAAATTGTTTTTATATACTCTATAGATCCTCTAATTATGTTTCCCAAACGAGTTTAATTTTGCTTTTCACATTTTGTTTTTACTATTTCTATTTGTTCTCCGGTATATTTTTTCGACAAAAAAACTTCATAAAATATAGTCATACTGTAGATCACTTAATTTTCGCGACACTTTATTTTCGCGAGATAGTCATTGACTCTTTAAAAGCGAGACAAAATTTTCACGAATTGTGGTCGTTGCTCTGTATAATATTAAGGAGTTCTTTTATACGCGAGAATTAAATTTTCGCAAGCATACCGTCTCACGTAATTACGCGAAAATAAAGTTCTCGCGAATAAAAAAGTGATTTACAGTACATTAGGATGTCCTACAAATACGATATGTAATAATTTTCATGAAATCTCGCGTATGCATGTGACCTGGAATCTGATTGGCTTAAACTCTTAATCGAAATAACTTTCTTGACGTCTACCAAACAGGATGAAATGTAGAACAGGGGTAGACATTATAGATTCATACAGGAAGGTTTGCATAATGGTCATCATGTACATGCATACACGTGCATCTGCACATGCAATGAGAAAAATAAAAAATACACTTGATCTAGCGGACATTTTTAAATACGTTTTTTATTACATGTCTATGATATTAAAATAAAAGTACATTTTACACGCGCGCATACAATGAAAGAATCTGCAATATACTTGGTATACTTCGGAAAAAACGTTGTAAAAGTCTAAAATGCATAGAGCAGCTTACAGAGAATAAGGCAACAAATGGTTGTTGGGGAGTGTTTGGGGAACATCTGTAACTTAGGCCCCAAGACCATAAACTGAAAACAGACTTCAGTCAAAGTTTTTATTTTTTAATATCCTGAGTTTTATTTAATGTATTTGCTTAAAATATTGCAATTTTGTGTAATATTTAAGGGGGCCGACTATAGTTTCCATTGCGCAATATTTCGCGCATCATAGTAAAATAAGGGTATTTATTGTTTTTATGCAACTTTTTTCGCTTAATTATTGAAATTAAACAAAATAAAGAAATTATAGGTATAAAATGTAATTACAATTTGATATAACTGATTTTTTAACCAATGTTGCAATTGATAGGTAGGTTGACGTCGTTGGTGTGTGTTTTTTACGTTCTGATAATCTGTAGCTCTTAAAGAAAGGGGTAATAAAAACATTATTAAAGAACAAGTAATAAACAAACACTCTTGAAATTTAAAACATAGAAATTTGAGAATATCTCAAATATTTTAATTATGTTTTCATGTGTATCCATTGTGTACGTCATATTTAGTGATACTCTATAAAAATAGTAAAATTTGCAATTTTTTGCATTTTTGGATGCCCCCTCTGGTTACAAGACGGTAGAATTTTGTGTTTCTTACATATATTGTATAATATAGTATTACTCATCAAATGTTATAGTTTGAACAAAGTGTCTATTGTAGTATTTGTATAATTTGCTTTAAAGTGCTAAAAATTGGCATTTTCCAATATAATCCTATAGTAAATGTACCTGTATTTTGAGACGGTCCCTCAAAAATACCTGGGCGGTAGATTTCCCCCATACTTTGCTTGTATACTGAAGTTAATGTAAGCTATATATGGTATAAAAATGAAGAGTTTCCCTATTGTAGTTTTCGCACAATAAAACTATAGTCGACCCCCTTAAATTCAAATATATGATGGAAATTTTTCTTCAATATCAAACTTATTTCAAAAGTTATTACAGTTTGAAATTTTGACTTAAGTCTATTCTCAGTTTATGGGGCCTGGTGACCCTTAAGACCCTTGGGTATTTTGTAAAAGTACGAATCAGGAATACTTCAAATATAATCAAACAAGTCATTTTTGAAAATTTAGAGGTTCCATATATCAGGGGGAAATACAATAAATATGTCTTATGTTATAATTTTTTGGTTTCTATTTAAATAAAGAGGATAAAAAGGTAGTCATGTAAAATTATTTTTTATCGTTTTTTCAGTATGAGACTATTAATCTCGAGGGAGGAAAGAAGTCGAAAAAGTCAGAGTTTTCCAAATATCCGAAGACATGCAAAGGTGAATTTCAAAACTCTAGAAGGAAGATACAGGCACAATTTTTAATGTTACTTTGCATAGTTTTGTTTGGTTTCTTTAAAAATGAAATATATGGATTATAAACTATAATTAACTTTAAATATAACGATGTGTGAAAATATTTATAACTCACATCTTGAAACACAATTTCGTCCTCTTTCTGGCGAATGGAAGTGAGTGAGTTTTGAAAAATAAACACATAGTCTAAAAAAAAACACTATTCTTATGGTAAGGTGTTCAAAATCTTTTTGCATTTAAAGATTTTTACAGTTTTGGTTAGGCCTACATTTTTAGATCACATTTTGTCCGGCGTCCGTCTGTCTGTCTTTCTTTCTAGCTGTCTATCTGTCTTTCTGTCCGTCCGTCTTTCTGTAAACTTTTCACATTTTTGACATCTTCTCCAAAACCTCTAGGCTATTTTCAACCAAACTTGCCACAAAGCATCCTGTGGTGAAAGGAATTCAAGTTTGTTCAAATGAAGGGCCACGCCCTTATTCAAGGGGAGATAATTCAGAAATGGTGAAAATTTGGTGGCATGTTTTTAAAATCTTCTTCTCAAGAACCACTTGCCAGGAAAGATAAAACTTATGGGGAAACATCCTCAGGTAGTTTTAATTAGAGTTTATTCAAATCATGACCCTCAGGGGTAAGGTGGAACCACAATGGCCGATCAATTTTTACGTATACATATAGGATTTTTTAAAAAATATCTTCTCAAGAATAACAAAAGCATGATTGATCATATTTATATCGAAGCATCTTTAGGTAGTGTAGATTCAAGTTCGTTCAAATCATGACCCCCAAGGGTAGAGCAGGGCCACAAAGACCGATCAAAGCAATAAAGCCATAGGTAGTCAAAAAAATATATGCAAGCATCCTTAGATAGTGTAGATTCAATTTTTTAAGGATTGGTTCAGACCAGTTTTGGATGTAAGCTTTTCAATAAGAAACTGATTTCTGCTTTTTTCCTAGCAACAGTGCTCAGGCGAGCGATATGGCCCATGGACGTCTTGTTTTATTAAAAGTCTTACATATATAGACTAAATTAATCTGCATAATTTTTATCGCTTTTTGATTCGATAATATACCAAAAAATAGCACTGGAGCTCTGTGTTAACCTGCTGTTTTGGTTCGATTTTGTTTAGCTCATCTGATGGGGTCGCTAAAAAAAAAACTTTATGTCAAGATGTAATGGACTAAAAACACTTAACTTTCAGATAGTGGGGAAATATTGTGTGAATGTTGAGATTTTAAATATAGGATCTCCCATGATTCGTAGTAAGATATGATTTTTGTCAAAGGAGCTTTTTTTTATTTTTATAAAAGAGCCTTTTGTATGAAAATTCATAGGTACATGTATGTTCCTTGTGACAAGAACTTTTTATGGGTACACTAAATTTGACCACTTGATTCTGACCACGGTGCTCGACCAACTTTTACAAAAACTATCACACTTTAACATTGGACATCAATTGTGAAAAGTTGTTGCTAGATCTTTCATACTTAACATGTGTATATATTGTGACAGGGCCCTTTAGTTGGTCTCAATATGTTTAACTTGACCTAATGCTTTGACCCACTTTTTAAAAATTTTAACCTTGGTCATAACTTTTAAGAGTTTGGAATAGGGCTTCAATATTTCACAGATATATGCACTGTGATTAGACCCTCCTGTGTTTACCAATAATTTTGACCTTGACCTTTGAAGTTTGACATTCATTTGAGAAAATTCAAACCTCGCCTTTTGCTGTCATTTTGGGGCATGTGTTTGTGAAACCACATCTTATTCCAAATAAGTTTCTCCATGACTATATATTTAAGTCAATTTTTATGATGTTTTGAGTTGAACACAATAAAAAAACTAATAATATTTTGTTTTCTCACGTTTTGTGTACAATAAACTAACGAAAAAATTAAATAAATTGCAAAATATAGTAACGAGAAGATGCGTCATATGATATGGAGACGTCACCACTTACAGTTGGTGAGCTGCAATTTTGGTTTTATACTCAACGACAAACAGTGAGTGATCTTATTTGTGCCAACAGCTCCTACATGTAAGACACGGGACCACTGTTTCTGCAGTCTCATCCGAAAAAAACGGTCTCCACGTCCCACAACGGGGTTTAAACCCTTGACGTAAGAATCAACTGCTTACATCGTGACTCTAGAGCATACGCTTTAACTCCTACTCTTCGTGGACTACTAACGCAAAATATAACTAGTGCTAATTGTAACGGGAACCGTTACAGATGTTCCCCAAACGCTCCCCAACTCCCTTTTAGTGCCATATTCCTGTAAGTTTCATTAAAATAGGCAGAATCTATGCATTTAAGACTTAAACAACATTGCATGAACGTAATGACTATATCATCTTGTCTACACTATTTTACTCATTGCACGTGCACGCACGTGCATGATTACCATACCTTCTTGTAGGAGTCCATTATGCCTGTCTATGTTCTTAATCCCATCTTGTTTGGTTGAAAAACAAGGGAGTTATAGCCATTTTAAAGTTTAAGCCAATCAGATTGCAGCGCACGTGCATGCGCGTGTTTTCATGACAATTATTATATATCATGTTGTAGGACATCTTGAAGTATGCCTATGTTTTAAATTTCAAAGCATTTTGTCAGAAAACAGAAAAGATATTGAGATTTTTGTTTCAGCCAATCAGAGCAAAGTGCACGTGCACGCACGTGCATGCATGTAAATGTTGACCATACCATCTTGTAGGAGTCCTTTATGTCTATCTATGTTCTAAATCCCATCATGTTTGGTTGGAAACCAAGGGAGTTATAGTCATTTAAAGTTTCAGCCAATCAGATTGCAGCGCACGTGCATGCACGTGATTTCACGAAAATTTTTATATATCATATTGTTGGGAATCCTTATGTATGACTATGTTATAAATTTCAAAGCATTTCATCGAAAAACAAAAAAAAAATATTGAGGATTTTGTTTCAGCCAATCAGAGCAAAGCGCACGTGCATGCGCGTGAGTTCATGCAAATTTGACCATGTCATCATATCTATACATCTTATATATCCTTATATAATGAGTTTCAAAACATTTCATCAAAAAATATAGAAGTTACATCCATATTAAATATATCAGTCAATTCACTCATTTCACGCGCACGCACGTGCATGCGTATGCGCGCAAAATGACCTTCGTTCCGCACACCTACACTACACACCTATTAACCTAAAAAGGTTTTAGCTCAGTTGGGTGAACAGTTTCTGAGAACACTCGCGGACAAAAAAAGTACCGGAGAACAAATAAGAAAAAAAATAATAATAATAATAATAAGAAACAGAGTAAAAACAATATGTTCCCAAACTCCGTTTGGGGAACATAATTACAATGTATCACGTTATTGCATATACACACTGCATTGATCCCGACGCAAAAAATAATAACGCAAAATATTATAATCCCTGTTTTGGGGTAGTTTTTTTATAATTTTACGCGATGTAACAATGCCCGTATATTAAAGTTGTATTACAAAAGAAATTATTGTTTCTAATTGTAGATCCTTGTACCAGTTCCCCGTGCAAAAATCAAGGAAAATGCATTATGAAATCTTATAATGATTTCAAGTGCAAGTGTAGAAACTTTTATTACGGAAATTTATGTGAAAAGTATAAGAGTCCTTGGATTTTATATTCTAAAAATATTAATGTGCCAAGAAGAAAAGTGTTATTTTCAATATCATCGATTCCCGGGATCTTCCCAGGACGTCGACCGAAAGTCATTCCTGGACGTGGATCATTACCTGTGAAAAAAATTCAGGGAAATTTATTGAATAGAATCCCAGATGCCACGACCAAGAGATTATATTTTCCTAAGACATGGATATGGGAGGATGTAAACATGAGGTTAAATTCCTCGATAAGTTATACACGTGTTAATCAATGATGTTGTTTTGAATCATTCAGTGTAAAAGAATTATCTTATTTTAAATGACAAATTTTGCTTTTCAGGGGCCGTTCATCGGTAACACTCACTAAAAGGCTACCTGGAACCATGACGACATGGGTCACATCAGTTTTTGGCGTTGATGATGTTAACGGTTTCGGAATTCTCGATGAAAATGATAATTTAAAGGTTTAAATATCATTGAAAAGAACAAGGTTCACTTTTGCCTTATTTGGTCCTGTGAATTTCTGTAGACTGAAACTGCATAGTTTTAGTTAACAATGCATTGAATAATCACTTAGATCTTTTGTGACTGCGTATCTATCGGCATTTTCTGTCTAGTTAATGCATTACACAAAATGCGTCAATTTCCTTATATTTTGAAAAAGTCTACAAAACGGCCATTTTATATCGAGCGCAACCTCTGATCTAAAATATGCAACTACCGAATGATAGAACTGTTTCTGGGGATTACAAGACATGTTTTTATATTTTATTTTAGATCAGAGAATGCGCTGATACTATTTTTCTTCATTGAATGTACTTGATTATACCTGTTTACCTTAAAATTCAAGAACATTGCAATTTCATAAAGCCAGTTCTCCAAAACCTGAACTTTTGAAAGAAAATTTTTAATTTGGAAATGAAAGCACTAAGTCTCTATTTTATTTTAATGCCTCAAATTGAAATTGAAGTGTTAATCTATATCTGCATTTTTAATCCCTGTTGAGATTCTGCTAGGCTAGATATTTGGACTGACGCCGTCGCAGAATCCCTGGACAACTATTAATAATTCATGTCTGGAGATTAAGTCCCAACTTCAGTCGACTATAGCAAGAATTATTCACGTAGACCACACTGCCGTTCGCTTCAATTAAGTCATTTAGTTGTTTATTTGACTCTCTGTCACTATTATTTCTACAAAGCTTACCGTTTAGGCATGTAAATCCCAACATAAAAATATTTACTGAAATCTCCGTTCAAATATGGCTCCCGTGATGAAATTGTTTACTATATAGTCTGTTTTTAGTCTATGTGATGTTCAATAGCCACAGTAGACTTGGTTCAGAGTTACATAGGGTAAAAAAAAGACTATAGGAACTCTTTTATTCGAGGAGGTAAACAATTTCGTCACGGGAGCCATATTTGAACGGAGATTTCAGTGAATATTTTTATGTTGGGATTTACATGCCTAAACGGTAAGCTTTGTAGAAATAATAGTGACAGAGAGTCAAATAAACAACTAAATGACTTAATTGAAGCGAACGACAGTGTGGTCTAAGTGAATAATTCTTGCTATAGTCGTCTGAAGTTGGGACTTAACCTCCAGACATGAATTATTAATAGTTGTCCAGGGATTCTGCGACGGCGTCAGTCCAAATATCTAGCCTAGCAGAATCTCAACAGGGATTACTGCATTTTATGCATAAAGTGAACCAAGCTCTCTGTAGGGAAAATTGTGTTAATGTGTTCACATAATATTTATATCGTAGAAAATGGGTGAAATAATAAAAAAAAGTTTTTTCTCTGAAAATAGATTCCAGTTTTCCTGCCATTCTTTATAGAAATAAAGAAGCCATCTTATATTGTTGCTGGAAACAGTGCTGTCGTCAAAATTACTTTGTTCAACAATTCTCCGGTTACAAAAATGGTAAAGATTTCATAGTTTTGTTTTTAACAAAAGAAAGAGCCTCGTATGATTTCAATTTTCTGCGTTGAAGTCAGAGAATAATTATTTTGTATGAAAAAAGACGACCTTAACAAAGTGAATTGAAAGAAGTGTATTAATATTAAGTCTGATTATGTCTTTAAGGTTTATATCCACATTCAGTTTCAAAGTGAAACAAGTGGTTTCTCGCGTCAGGTATGTCTTTGAAAAATATATATAACTTAAAGCTGCTTAATCCGAAACAGGCACATATCATCTTACACAATCAAAGTACATGTACGTCATTACATAGATTATATATAAAAATAAATTAAAAGATTTAATAGTTTATTACAGCAATCCTTACAAGGAAAACATAGATTAAAAACCTTATTGACAAACAGAAGTTCCTGACGGGAATTTAAGATCTGTTGTGAAGTCACCCTGGAAAAAATACATTTATCGGTCATATCTAATTATAAACATAATTCAAACCCGAGTACTTTTTTTTCGTTAGTAAAAGCCTAAGTCATAATATATCTTTTAAAAATTAAAAAAGAAATTAGTTGAATATAATCCATAGTAATTTTGATATTAATATGCATATTTAAAGAATAAAGAAAAATCATTTTTTAAAAAGATTTTTATAGGAAGTTTAGTAACAAAGGCTAAAATATTGTCCGTGTATAGGTATAAGCACTTTGTTGTGAAAACAAAAATGCTTGGGTTTGTTCTTCATGAGATGTAAGCGATAAATTTAATTTTTCGAAGGTGATTTCACGCGATATCAACATAGGATTATTTTTTGTGTGACCTAACAAAAATTATTTTTTTTTACTTTTGAATTTTAATATCTTTTAAAGGAAAAGGACTTTGGGGATATAATTTGACAAAAGTTGAAACAATTCATGGACAATTATTTTTCAAGAAGAAAATCGAAATATTTTTTTGCGATTAGAAACGGACTAAGCGGCTTTAATACATTACACATTTCTGAGCCTGTAAAATATAATGATAAGGATTAATACTTTTTATATGCATTTTACAGATCAATTGAAAATGAGATGACATTGCACTTTTTAAATAAAAATAAATATGAATATATTACATGTACTTACTATCATGATATTTGATTTCTCTATTTTCGCCTTTTCCATTTCACCTCCTTGTTACAATAAGCTTGCTAGTGGGAATTCGACTGTGTATTTTCATGGAATACAACCAAAAGCGGACAGATATGGAAACTTCAATGTAACTGTGGTTGCGTATGATCTAATGAATTCCTTTCAAGTATTAGACTGGATCCAAAAACCAATTAATGTAAAGGTACATGTATATATAATATTTTGCTTAACGTAATGATTATTGTGTCAGTATTCTGTTTAAGATACATCCTAATTTCTAATAAGAGTGTGTGAAGGAGGATGGGTGGGAGGGTGCGCGTACGTGTGTTAAATTTAAAAAAAAATCTGCTTAACTGAGTAAAAAGGTTTTTATTTGCTTTCTAATAGAAATGCAATTCATTCCCTGTCTTTCTAGGCACCTGGTTTAGAACAACTGTACAACATTCCATACTTTTTGACATTGAGTAACAGAATGTCATCGGTTATAAAAACTGTTACAATAACACTCCCACGCCATGCAATACAAGGAACTCAATCCGTATATTTAACAATCACAGGTAATATGAACTCAACATAGTCATTAAAATATTATCATCACTGCTTTTAATAAAAAGGGTGAAATTATACATGCATCTATTCTAATATGTGTTTTCGAATTATTTAACGATAATTACACCAAAACTTGTTTTCTCCTTCTGATTTGGTAAGACAAGTTTAATGAATTGTAAGATTTTTTTTTGAAATGTCAATGGTTAGTTGATCATATACAATATCATTATTTGAAGATTTGTTATACAGTAAAACACGGTTATAGCGAAGTCCTGGGGACCTGTGAATTTAATTCGCTATATCCGTAATTCGTTATATCCGTATAACGAATTCGTATAACCATATATAGCGAATTCGCAATATGCATGTTTTCCTTCAAGTGTTACTATCAAATATGTTAGGGAAGCAAATATTAAAAAACATACCTTCGATAACCAAGGTTTTATTATGAATTGAATTTTATATAAAAATGCTGAGAGAAAATAAAGTCAGTTCAATTATTCAAATTTTGAAATCTTTGAAAGTTCGTTATAAAAGATGTAAAATTCATTATATTTAACCTCAACGGGATTCAAAATCAGTTCGCTATATCCGTAAATTCGTTATATCAGAGTTCGTTATAACCGTAAAATTTTTCAAAGATTTGTTAAGAATTTTGCCAGGGACCCAGAAAAACTTCGTTATATCCGTGAATTCGCTATATCCGTGTTCGTACTAAACGTGTTTTACTGTAATATATTAGTTAGAAGAGAGCGTAAATTATAACTTTTCATTTTTAAATAATTTTTAAAAGTTCACTTGTTGTAAACCTTTTAGATTTCGTGTTCAGCATTTTTGGCAATCTTATTATGGCATCGCATTTATCTTCAGCATAAATTACAAGATATTGCCAATACATTTATTATTAAAACTATCACCGTGCAGAATTGACCTTTTTTTTTACAATATTTCTTTTCGGACTTTCATTTTGAACATTAACATGTTTCAAATGTTATTTTCAGTGAACTTATTTCTAAATCTTTATTTATTGTTAGACTATGAAACATTAATTTTTTTACTTAGTTGCAAAGAGACACTAAATGGACAATTGTTGAGAACTACAAAAGGACAAAGTGTTAACCGTTACTAATTTCTAAACTTTATAAAAACATACAATATAATTATTTGATTGATCTTCCTTTCATGTCTATCTTATCAAAACTTTTAGGTTGACCCAACTGCGTAGTCATAAAACTTTCAATGTAATTTTTTAAAAACAATTACATGTATTACATCCTCTTGTTGTGACCAAAATTTATAGTTTGATCTAACTTCGCACTGTTACTAAAGTCTCGAAAAATAAATGTTTTTTCCAGATAGAAAAAATAATATTTGCTTGGATTAATTAGATTATTGTTGTACACATAAGACATTAAACCGGACAAATTAGAAATTTATTCGAACAAATAAGAAATTCCTCTAGTCAAAAAAATCCTCGAATTGCCCAAACAATATATGAATATTTCTTTATAAATTCAAACGATTTGCTTATGTATTTGATCAAATCTCTTTCAATTGTTTATCTCATTTGTCCGAGCAAATATTTGCTTGGTTTTGCTAAACAAAGTCATCCCATTCTTCCAAATACATATATGGCCATCAAGCGAAGCCTTAACTTCCAACTTTTTTCAGGAGACATAATGGCGCCAACTATAGGTGGACTTGGTCATTTAATCCGCACTCCCTGTGGATGTGGAGAACAAACTATGATGTATCTTGCACCTAATATTTACGTGATCCATTACCTTAAGTCAACAAATCAATTGTCAGCAGATGTTAGAACCAAAATAGTAACAAATATCAACAGAGGTATTTTTGCTATTTTCATATTTATGCTCGTTAGTTTTAGTCGAGTGTTTTCATTCATAATCGTAAGTAACAATGTTATACATGTACTTCATATGAAATAGAGACCTTGAAAGCATTCTTTTTAAGCAAAGTTAAATTGCACATAACTTGCAATTGACCCCTAGTCTGGAGTAGACACGGTGTAAATTCAGAGAAATTTTTCCTGAGCAATGAATATGTTTTCAATTAATTGTTTGCTCTTGATTTGATAATATTCGATATTTTTTTCACAAGGCATAGACAATGAATTGAGATGGCAAAAGTCTGATGGATCATTCAGTGTATGGGGAAATAGAGATAGACATGGAAGCACGTGGTATAACCTTTACGTATCAATAAAGACACAATTTAAGAATTTAATTAGCAAGCAGATTTATGATGATTCTCAGAAATCTAAAATATATACTGAGATAACGAACAGTTTTCAGGCTCAAAATCCCATTAAACACTTCAAATTAGAAGCAGAGTAAACACAGAAATCTAAAACATCAGAGGTGGAATTAGGTGCGAAGGAGGAGTTAGCATACACCGCGTAGTTCCTGTCATGACCGGGAAATAACGGATATATCCGTCGACAATTCAGTGTGTATTTAATGATCTAACAATCAATATGGAAAACGTTAGTTTATATTATAAAATAAGGTACGAAAAACTTCAGTTTATTTTTTTTTTATTTTTTCCCTCTAGTATAAAGCGAAATACATCATAATTATATTTATTCAAAATTAAAATACTTTGAAATAGTTACCGATGGTTGTTTACTTCTTGATTTATAATTACCCTGTTGTTCTAAATAAAGTGCGGCAAATTCTACCACAGATTCAATGATGTGAGCTTGAAAAATACAAAGCACTTTCTTTTATTTGTTTTCTTTGGGTAGCTTCCCTTCCGTTGAACAAACTTGAATCTCTGTGTGAAGATTAGTTTAAGCTGGTTTATTGGTTTTGATAATGTTAAAAATGTTAAAGTTGACAGACGGACGATATATAAAGTTTCAGATTCCTTTGGCACAGGTGAAAGAGAAAACGAAATTCACTTCAACCTGCAAAAATTAAATCTTGAGGATAGGGCTACAGTTTAAATTAGTTAAAATATATCTTGCATGCATGGATATGAAATTTAGCAAGCATGCTAATTAAATCTTTTTTAACATAGAAAATAATAACATCACAAGCAACAGTTTGTAGAATTGAAATGTCTTATCTGTGAAAACTTCATTAACAGTGTCAATTATTATTATTTGGAGTTATATAAAGCAATATGAGCTGCATTTTTGAAAATTTTATTTTGCTGTTAAACATGTTAAAATGTGTTATTTTGAGAAAATTGTATGTAATTTAATCCTTTATGATCAATTAGACTAAAATAAAGCAGAAGAAAGACTAAATTTATATTCAATCGAATAATTATACAGTTCTGTATAAGAAACATTATTGTACAGGACGACAATAATGTAATTTTGCTGATAAATAGTTCTTCCATCGCAAATATGAACAAATAAAGTTTATTAACATTGTTTTTTTTTTCTTTCATTGAAATAGTTATTTACAATTTTGCAACAAAAAATTCTGACATCAGAGTTGCAGCTCATATTGCTTTAAATTATTGTCAATTTCTTCTTAATTTACTGTATAATCTCTTGTATTCTACTTACAGGTTGACTTCATTTGTGCTTTTGTGCTTTCACCAGGCGGATTCTTTTGTACCTGTTGACAAAGATATATTTACACGTGGCATAAACTGGCTATTGAACAAACAAAACATTGATGGTTCTTTTCAAGAACATGGCTACGTTATTCACTATCAAATGCAGGTAAATGAAATATAATTCTTTTTTCGGTTTGTTGAACCTTTGGAAAAAAAGAACTCAAGCTTGGATCTTAAATCTTAAATGAGTATAATTCTGTTAAAAATATTTTCAAGAAAGAGTTAAATTTTGTCAAACTTTATCTCGCAAGATATAATGCCCAACAAGGATTATATTAAATTTTATTTACTTGATAATCGATATGGGTAAAGTTTAATATGAATGATCAGATGGAGGTTTAATCTTATTATTTAAAGAATTTTTTTTATGAATTCATACTTACAATTTCTACTCTATTTTACAGGGAGGAGTAAGAGCTAGTCGTGCTACTATCACAGCATACGTCTTACTGACTCTGTTAGAAAACAAAGATATTAGGGAATATAGGGTAATTTATTGTTTGCAGTTAATGAAAATATTCTTGATCAAGTAATAATAGGGATAATAAGAAGTTTCCTCATCTTTCCAAAATTAAAGCGATAATATTTTCCGGTAGTTAATTTTTCTTCAAAATACAAATTCAAGGAAAATATTATCAAATGGCTTCATTCATTCATGAAAAATGTTTAAAAGAAATTATGTATCAAAATGACATGCGTATAACAAACAAATGACAATGAAAGATAATGAGTCTTCATATATCCGAAATTTTATTTCCAAGTAATTCTTATTTACATGTATATGATACATTCAAATTATTAAGTCTCCCGCGTGGCGAAGTGGATAGAGCTTTTTTTCTAGAGTCGTCAAGTAATGAATTGATCGTATTGATAAATTAAGTACTGATCAGGTGAATGGAATACCTTGCAGTCATATTGGTATAAAGCAATGAAATAACGAATTGAACGCAAGACAAAATTTCGATTCAATGATAGGTTATTTGTAGAATGAATTGCATTATAGTATATAGTGACCGTAGAATAATAAAAATATCTTTTGAACCCGGCTGATGAATCAAATTTTTAGTAGATCGCCTCGATTTAAAAATTCATCGTATTCAGAGCCTGCTATAGCGTATTCAATCAGTTGAAACACTCTATCTGCTAAAGATATTAAAATATACCTTAAGTAATCAAGCTAGATTTATTCATTTTGTTTATACAGTTATTGTTTTTGGCCATTTTTTCGCCCATATATATATACAGTAAACAAATCAAAATATGAAACAGATGTGGCGGACTTTGTAATGTCTAGATCCTATTTCGAGTCTACTGAAATATATTGAGTTGCCATATAAATGAAAGAAATATTAATGTTTTAAATTCATAAAACGCCGTGAATAAATCTAATTGTTGAGTTGAGTTTCTACTACTCATACAAGAGCTTTTTAATAAATTCTAATAACTTCTCAAAAAATAAAACCTTAATCGCTTAATGAAGAAGTGAAATAGTGTCCATTGGAATTTCAATTGATTGTTTGATGATCTGGTTACGAAGGACTGCCTGCTTTATAATAAAAATACAATGAGGAATTCATTCATCTTTTTATCGTCAGAGAACTTGAATGTAAAACTAAAATGATTTTAACAAAGTATGTTTTTAAAAGAACCATTCACCTGATATAAAATTTAATAGTTTCATTTTTATTAGGTTGTCTCTGATATCAAACATACTATTTTTTAATAATATGATCTTTGAAAAAAAAATTGAGAATTTAAATTTTCCAAAGGTTCTTCGGTTGTTTGTTTTTTTTTTTTTTTTTTTTTTTTTTGGTTTTAAAAAAAATTTTTTTTTTATGTTTTTTTTTATTAATAATCAACATTTCATTTACATGTACCCCACTTTTTAAATGTGTTCAAAATATTTCTTCCCAAGCAACTTGTAATTTGGTGATGAGTAAGGATAGGGACTTGGTTGAGATTTACTAGAAGCTGCAATATTTCTTTGTTTGTAAGGATTTTTCTTGCAATTTACTTAATATTAAATGCAGAAAAAAATGGCGATTGCAAAGAGAAAAGCAGGGCAATACTTAACCAGGTCCAGTGTTATGCGAGATTTAAAGAACACTAATCACGGAATGGCTTTTACGAGCTATGTTTTACAAAAGGCCGGATACCAGAGAAAAGCGAGACAGTTGTACGCTACTTTAAAGGGAAGGTCAAAGGAATCAGGTACATGTCATTGATAAATTATGCATCTAAAATTATTATATTTTTTTTCAATGAAACATATGGAGAAAACGAACAACATTCAAGATCCATAAAACAATACAAAACAAAAGCAGAGCAAACACGGGCCTCCAAAACATCAGAGTTGGGATCAGATGTCATGGAGGAATGACCATCCCCACCCGATCACACCGAGAGCTCCTTGTCACGATCGGGAAATAACGGAAAAATCCATCGTCAATTCAGTGTATAAATAATGGAATAACAATTAGTATGAAAAAAAGTCAGCATTTGACTTAATGATGAATTGTATTTGTTGACAAGGTCATTGTATAGACCATAGACATTACGAAATGATGATTTTAAAGGAGACTGCTGATATTCTTGTTTCAACAACTTGTTTGTCAATAATGTGCCTCGTTATAGAAATTGTTCATACGTAGAGCATGCTCTTCCGTATCGAATCAACTGAGACATATAAACTCCGTATGCAGGTGTTGAAAGTATAATGCTGCATAAGAAGGAAAGTTGACGATAGAAAATTTAATGTCATCGCGTTTATCATAGAGCTTGGTTGATAGATTACCATTAATGTCTTTTTATAGTAAAATATCCAAGTATGAAACAGCATGTCAGACTCTGTGGCATCCTTTATCTCAAGCTCACAAGGATATATCGTATCGACAAAGGAATGGAAATTACCATTGTTAATTGACAGTACGGCGTCGATATATCTAAATGTCGAGTTGAAGGCCACAGCAAGTGTTTTCTTCTTTTCACGTATAAGATTTTGCACAAATTCTGCTTCATATGAATACAAAATCAGGTCTGCTCCCAGCAGGCACACAACGTTGTTTAAACGTTGAATATTTGTTGAAGTTGGGTGTAGACGTTGATAAATCTAGATACAATTTTGATTCAACGTTGACTATTCAACTTTGAAAATGTAACGTTGATTCAACAATGAATTCAAATTGAGTTGAATTGCCAACATTGATTTAACGTTGCATCTTCGCTGAGCGGACCAATCCTATTTTTCGCTGATAGATAATTCGGACTATAATAGTGTCGGACTATAACACTGTCGGACCATAACGAGGTCGGACTTGACAAAGTCGCACTACCAGACATCATTACTCCTTTATATAGCTAACAAGGATGGTTAATATAGGAATTTTACACATTCATAAGCAACAATAACGTTAGAGCCACATGGAAAATAGTTTGAAGTATAAAGCACTGCTTATTTTTTCAGAAAGGATTTTTATGTCGGATCATGATGTGACGAAATTGAACACAGAGAATAGATAGAGTAACGATTTATTATCACAACATTAAATTAAATATATGTGGTGCATATGAAAATAATACTTACTATAAAACCTATTTAAATCATGTTAGAAAACATCATGGAGCGATGCTTCCTAAGCCAGAAAATCACAATGTTGTATGTGGTTGTAAGTAAAAAATATATCTGTGATGAGGAGTTATCTTTCTTCTAAATATTTCTTCATGTGAAAAAAATGTCATACTAATAAAAATAATGTATTAAGTACTTAAACCATTAAACCATTTTTAAAATGGTCGTGGAAAGATACATGCAACTTATTCAATTTATAAGACTTTTGATTTTGGATTTTTTACTGTTAAATATAATAAAACATTTACAAAGAAATTGGCAAAACAAATACAAGTAATGTTTCTATCGTATGTTAAATTTCATCAAATTGACTACTCAGATCTAGAAGTCTCAATTAGGAAACTGATTAAGAAAAATGTGAGTAGTATTCATATTTAGTACTTTGAAAGTTATCTGTCTTATCAGAGGGTCGCTATCCCTTAAAGAGTTATGAAGGCATCTTAGTAAATCTGCAATAAAACGGTTGAAATTTTAAGTAAGTTGTGATCACCTCCCACCTCCCGGAAAAAATGAAGAAAAAAAACCGTTGAATTAACGTTTATTCAATGTCTAATCAACATTGATTTTCAACATTGATTCTACGTTAAGATTTCAACGTTGAACTCAATTTTCAAAATCTAATATAAACTAAACGTTGAATCAACATATATAATCAACGTTGATTCAAAGTTTCATTCATTGTTGTGTGCCTGCTGGGCTAATAACGAAGCGCAATTGGTAATGAAAATATATTACATAATATTATTACTTTATTGTGATAAACAATAAAGAAAGTTTTGATTTCCTTTTAAGATAACAAAATGAGCATATCAGGTATATATTTTTAGGTGACTATCTGTTTTGGCAAGACAATGGAAGCAAAGTGTACAAACAAAAACTTAGCTGGCAAGCCCCAAACCCTAGAGCAAGACCGATTGACATTGAAACGTCTGCTTATGCACTATTATATCTTTCTGAGAGAAGAGACATTACGGAGGGAATGAAAATAATGAAGTGGCTTGTTTCCCAACGAAACCCCCAAGGAGGGTTTACTTCTACACAGGTAATTCATTTGTTTCGTACAATGTCATGTATGTCATAATAATGATGAAATTATATCACTGTCTATAATATTCAAAGAAGACAGATACATTCGGATTTGGGTAATTAATTTCTCCAAGGAACCTAGCAAAAATTTAAATTTCACTGCATTTCAACATCAATAAAATCAAAAAATACACTTTAGACAGCAATTCCTTGAGATAACTTTTTGACTTCAAAGACATTTATTTTTTATTAAAATAAATCTTGCAAATTTACAAAGCTAGTCATTGATTATTTGCAAAATCATTTTATTAAATAAAAAAGATGATACGAAGAGAAAGTATTGATTCCTGGATTGTAACATGTCGTCCGCGTGGTGCAGTGGTTAGAGCGTCTGTTCTAGATTCGCCAAATAAGGAGTTGATAATTTCGTCGCGGGTTCAAATCGAAGATCGACTCTTTTACGTAAACCATGGGCCCGTGGCGCAGTAGGTGTTTTCACGACAAAGATCACTCGCTGTCCAATGCCACTGAGTGCCGAGTATATGTATAAATTTGCAGCCCTCCACCGGCAAGAGGTGGAGTTTCCATATGGGTGAAAAATTCTCGAGAGAGATGTTAAGCAACAAACAAATATTCCTATATACTTTGAATTGATATGTCCCTTTGAACTCAAAATAAAAGATATCATTAAGTCTTGCATATCTGCTTAGTTTGGATATTTTACTAGAACATCAACTGTCTCGTTTATAAATCAACAGTAATTGAAGAAAAGAGGCAGCTAGAGAATGTTAAAAGTCACTATTTTGCAAAGTTTAAAGTTGATAAAATGGCCTTGTCATCAAAGATTTAAGGCCAATATTCACTTATGTTTTCCATACAAATTATTTAGCAATTTCAATTCCTTGCGTTGTATACAGATTTTTTTTTCAAATTTTCTCAAGAGCACGAGGCGGGAGTTACTGCTCGATGGGGGTTGCTTACTCAAATTCTAATATTTTTTAGGTCTGTGTTTGCACTGCTCCTGATTTGTAATTTTCCAAAGGACCTTAGTTAGCTTGCTGACTGTTCATTATCCTAACATTTCTTGCTTTTTGCTAATTAGACAGATCACAGTTGTAATTCGTACATTTACAAAAAAAAATGTATTACAGGATGTACCCGAAAAAGGACAAATTGAGATTCCGTTTATTCTCAGACACTTTTAAAACCTTGAATTAATTACTTAATATATATTGAATGCATCATCGTATTCTCAGTACAAACATGATCTTTTACATGTTTATTGATTTATTTTGATCTTTTTAGGACACGGTCGTATCACTTCATGCACTCTCAAGATTCTCCAGTATGTTACAGCAATCAATTTTAAATGCACAAGTGAAGGTGAAAAGTGGATCAACTGAAAAAACATTTAATGTTACGCAGCAAAACAAACAACTCATACAGAGAATGGAGGTAACTTTGTTTAATCTGTCCATTTGATAGTTTTATTTGGATGTATATCCCATATATATATTAAAATTTGCGAGATAACACATTATGATATCAATTTATCAATCTCTTAGCTTTCTCTATAACTCCTTTTTGCAACTAAAATTTTTGTTATTCATAGGTTTATACATTAATAATCAACTGAATTGGCATTCTCATGAGAAAAAAAACCATTTACATATCCATCTAAACTTGTCTTTAAGTTAAAAGTTCTTGAAAATTATCAAAATTATTTCTGTATGCTAGTTTGATTCCATAGTGGGACCATTGGGACAACACACAATCAAAGAATATATCAAAATTACCTAGTTCAAACTAAGTCAAAGAATCGTATTTGTTTTTTTTTCTCATTTTCCCCATTTAGGGTAATATTTTGTGCAAAGTTAAGATAAATGCACTAAGAAAACCTGATACCCTAAAACTCCTATATATTCAATATCTTTGGATATATGAAAATTTTATAATGCATCAGTACATATACTTTTTCAGCTTGGTAACAGTACAAGCAATGTGGAAATAAAGACTTCAGGGAAAGGATTAATTCTGGTTGATGTATGTACAGAATTATCATTACAATAGCTTTTTTCATTAATTTTAGTGAATAAATAAGGAATATAAATAATATATGATGGGATATTTTCAGACTGTTGTAAAATATAATGTGATGAAAAGCGAGGACTCTGCATTCGAAATTAAAACAAGTATCAACCCTTCAAAGCAAACTTTTGACAAGATTACCGTAAATGTCTGTATAAGGTAACATCATGTTGTAAGCTTTGAATTTATTCGCTTGAGGTAAATGCACATTTAAATCATGATAATATATGATGTTTTGCTTTAACGTCCACCAAGTAAATTTACAATTTATAAAATTAAAATAAAGCGTTTTATAATGTTTTTCTCATGATTTCATGCATATATTGTATTTTGTTAAAACAGAATAAAATACATTTCCGAAGTATTACTCGCTTCATTAAAACGATCTGTGTTAACAAATAAACCAAAGACATTTTGATCTTTTCTATGAGATTAATATTTTAGATTGTGATCGTTCTACTTGTTTGTTTGTTTGTTTTTACCTTTTGTACATGAACATGTCTGAAAAAAGATAAAGCATTTATTTATTTCTTATTTTCATAAAACAAAATTCAGGAGGAAGGACAATAAGGATAATGGCATGGTGGTTGCAGAGGTTGGAGTCCCTTGTGGGTTTGTGGGTGACCTCACAAAAACCAGGGCCCGGGGTCTCGAACACAAAGAAAAAAGTTCTGATGCAGTAGTGCTGTATTTCAAAAATGTAAAGTACTCCATTTTTATTACTCTGTTAACATATTAAAGGTTATCAGGCATTTTCAATGCTATTCACGCATGCATGCATTTTTTTTTAAAGCTTCGCGGAAGCAAAGTGTGCTTTGACGTAACAGCTAACAGAGTGGACAAAGTTACGGAGTCACAGGCGATTCCTATTACAGTGTATGATTATTATGAACCAGGTAAGAGGGATTTTTATCTAAATAAATGTATTATTCTAAACCTGAAGATAGAGGCAAATAAAAATTGTCGAGAGGATATGTGCAATGCAACGTGATTACCGAGCAACACTAGTGGACTTTTAAGAAAACCACTGACTTTTACAGTCGACGGTCTACTTTTGCACAACGACAATGTACGGAAGCTCTTTTTCGATAAAAATATTTAGCTGAATATTTAATTCCAGACGAAAATAACGTGCTGAAAAAAGCACATATAAATGGCTTATGAAGAATCCGAAAACCACCTTTAAGTTACCATAAACTTATACCCTTCACATGCCGATGCCCAAAACACCATACTTTTGACTCCAAGAATGGTTTTTTACCCATTATTAATTCTGTACCTCCATAAATGATACGGGTTTAAGAAAGGTCTAAACACTGCGCACTGAAGAGTTGTACACAAATGTACTTATAGGGTAGATTTATGAAGTTAGAGGTGATCTGCCCTTTGAAATAAAATTATTAAAATTGTTAATTACACGTTTTGTAAAAGATTAAAAATATATTTAGCATTATATTAGACCACGAATAAGTAATTGAATTCATTATTTTCAATAATTTTCCCAATGTAAGTAAATAACAGTGATTTCTGCTCAGAAATAGTCCATTATCTTTGAACATTTACAGCGGAATTAACTAAGCAGGTACCTTATGTTATAAATGAATGAAAAAGTCTTAATATGCACACCTTAATATGATACACTAGTATGTAGTTTCCTTAAATCCAAAAAGCAGTTTCTGTTCGTGTTTAGAGTTTCCTTAAATGTCATAGTAAACCATCAACTGTAAAGTCAGTGCTTCTCGCAAAAGTTCCTCGGTGCTGTGCACAATAAATTTAAAAACTGGTAAAGGTACTGAACATGCTTAAGGGAATCTAGAACTAGAAATCAATTGACGGCAAGCAAATTTCTTACGAAAACTTTAATACTTTATATTATTTTTTGTTTTATTCATGCTGCAGTGAATTATGGGATCTCAAGTTATAGGTCCGGTAAGCTGAAAGAGATGAACCTGTGTAATATCTGCAAGCACTGCACCATATGCCAGGGAATTGTAAGTTTATATGATATTATATAGTATATTACCTGTAAATCCGACAAAGAACATAACAAATAGCGAGATACTTCATACATATCTGAATTTAAGGACAGACGAGACGTTACTTTATAAAAGATAAATTTTTCAAAGATTTTGTCGTTGAAGTATTGCTACTTAAACATGTTTGCTCACAAAAAATTGAGTACCTTACCAGGCCTTTCTGCAAGATACCAGGGGTAGTTTTCCTTATACATGTATAATCCTTTTGGGAAGAAAAATAATTTTCCAATTTCAAATGTTTAAGTGTTTGGACTTTGTAAAAACGTTTAGAAAGTGGTTTAGAAATCAGAATGTTATTAAAATTTTGGATATTTTTCATACATTACGAAGATATACAAAACAGATATTGATGAACGTCTCGTCTGACCTTAACAAGAGAATTCGTATCTTTGAATAATAAAGTTCTAAAGAAGGTTTATATGTACATGTATTATATTTCATATGTTTTTTAATTTGAAACAACATGGATATTTCTTTATTCGGGATAAATATTGTATTTTATATATGTTCATAATATGTAATTGATTAATTTTTAATATTTTTTAGGAACTGGGCTGAGATGAAAAAAACTACATTGTTGATTAAAAAATCAAATAAAGATTTTAAGTTGAACTACGTTTTTAATCATTTCTTAAAATACGAACAGAAAATCATTGAAAGAAAAAAAAAATAAAATACAATGTACCAGATAATGCCATTCAATTTCCGAATTTACAAAACACCTTAATTTCGCATCGACAACTCCTCCATAATAAAAGAATACGTCAAAAAAATATTTTTTCTTTTTATTCTTTTGTCAAAATTTGACTTAGCCCGTCCAGCCTTGTACAGTGGAGAACTGATACAAGCAAACTTGAATATTTACTACATGGGAATGTTTACATACCTATATAAATAATTGTATCCATTTTCTTCTTGATTTTGATGACGATTTTTCCCAAGGCATATAGTTACTCGTATGTTACATAGTAAACTTTGATCATCCCTTGGAAAACTTTGACTCCCCTCTTATGGCCCCGATCTACCCGGAAAATTATGATATTAACAAAGTTGAATCCTTAGTAGATCCATAAAATGAAGTTAATTTTCACTTTAATTTCATTTTTTGTCTTATATAGTGGTTCTTGGAAAGAAAAGTTTTAAAAGATGCCACTAAACATTACACGACTTTTAGTGATTATTGATTACATTCCCTTGAAATAGGGGGTGGCACTCCCGGGAACAAATGAAAGCCCCTTTACCGAATGATGCTTTGTGGCAAGTTAAGTTGAAATTGTTCCAATGGGTCTCTAAAGAGGTTGATAATACATGTTATTTTACAGACGATCGACGGACGCTGGATTCTTTGATCATAAAACTTCACTTACGACGAGGGTTCAAATTAGCTTAATACTAAGTAATGGGGAGTTGGCTAATTAAATCAAAGATATTAAAATGACTCGTTGTGCTTCAAAATCATAAGCTTACGAGTATCACTTCACAATAGGCATAGAACGTGTTTGATTTGCTTGGCATATAGGGATTACCAATAATGTTGTTATTTACATGAATAACTTAAAAAGGATGTTTAAAGTACTTTTTTTACTTTTTATTTTTTTTTCATCTATGATGAATATGAACAAATTAGCAATATTTTATTGGTGAAATATAAATGCAAATAACCTATATAAATATCCATACATTTAGCTCTAAGTTATACTTACCAAAGCGCACCTCTGAAAAATTTGCGACTAGGATTTATTCAAATTTTGAACATTGGAAATTTTGAGCAGCAATGTCGCCTTTAGCTGTATTTTTTTGTTTTGGGGCTACTTGAGAAAAGGTGTATCTGCTTAAATGTGACAAATTCTGGGAATGATATTGAACACTTGAAGCAACTCGTACAGCAACTCAACACCAGTCTTCAACACACTGTTAACTACGAGATTGATCAACTGAAAAGAGAAACAAGTTTCCTGAAAACAAAAATCAACGCACTAAGAAGGATATGGAAATAACGAACAGTATTCAATCTCAACGTCCATTAAACAAATATACAAAATAAGAGCAGAGCAAACACGGACCTCCGAAACATCAGAGGTGGGATCAGGTGCCATGGAGGAGTGAGCATCCCCTGCCGACCGGTCACACCCGCCATGTGCTCGTTGTCATAATCAGGAAATAACGGAAAAAATCCGTGGTCAATTCAGTGTATAAATAATGGACTAACAATTGGTATGAAAAACGTCAGTCAGCATTTCATTCAATGATAAATTGTATTTGCTGACAAGGTCATTGTATCGACCATAGAATTTACGAAATGATGACTTTAAACGAGACTGTTGATATTCTTGTTTCATCAACTTGCTTGTCAATAATTTACCTCGTTTAAGAAATTGTTCATACGTAGAGCATGCTCTTGCGTATCGAATCAACTGAGATATAAATACTCCGTATGCAGGTGATGAAGGTATATTGCTGCATAAGTAAGGGAAGTTGACGATAGAAAAGTTAAAGTCATCACGTTTATCATATAGCTTGGTTGTTAGATTACCATTAGTGTCTTTTTCAAGTAAAATATCCAAGTATGAAGCAGAAGTGTCGGACTCTGTGGTATCTTTTATCTCAAGCTCACCAGGATATATCGTGTCGACGTAGGAATGGAAATTATCATTATTAATTGACAATACGTCGTCGATATATCTAAATGTCGAGTTGAAGGCCACAGCAAGTGTTTTCTTCTTTTCACGCAAAAGATTTTGCATAAATTCTGCTTCATATGAATATAAAAATAAGTCTGCTAATAACGGAGCGCAATTTGTACCCATGGGAATTCCAATAGATTGTTGGAATACCTGGTCTCCAAAAACCACATAGATATTGTCAATCAGAAACTCAAGCATCTTCTTGATGTCAACTTCAGAGTACTTATGTGTGCAATCAGAATCTGTTTTAACAAAATAATTTTTCAAATGACCAATGACGAGGTAAGTAAACTTACGAGTTCCATTTTTGTTGAAGAAGCAGCTGTCAATGATATCAAAAAGCCTGGATTTTAATTTGTCGTGGGGAATTGTTGTGTATAAAGTTGAAAAGTCGTAATTTTTTATGCTGTTGATTTTTGTTAAGTCTTGTGATTTCAAATTGTCCAAAAGTTCTTTAGAATTTTTAAGTATCCACATCTGATTTACACCACTTCTTGAATATATAGTTGTACAGTACTCTTGAAGTTTTTCCTTCACTTCTGTCAATATTTTAGTGAGAAGTAACGAAAGAGGCTTGGTTGAACTAAGTATGTTTAAAAATATTTAGGCAACACTTCTCTCTTATTATCTAGTTCCCTGATATCATAATAATAAAAAAAGAAAACTGTAGATTATTTTTGCTACGATCATTCTAATGGAGTACGTTCAATAGCATAGCTGCTACGTAGCCTTGAAGGGAGAGCTAACCTAGCCGCTACGGAGGAAGAGCTAGCACAAAAAATTAATACTGAGGTACCAAATCAAAGTTTGCTTTCTTCATTACAACTACTTGTACCTAACACACAAGATTTTAACAAAAAGAGTATAATTTTCTACATTTAAGGGAATTAAAATGTAAATTAACATCTCGTATATTTGTGTTTGAAAAATAAGTTTTTACGGATATTTTTTTCTGAAATCTGACACTTATAGCGGCTAAGCTAGCTGTCCGTTTAATAGAGATAGATATCTAACACCTAGCTGCTATGTTCGCAGTTAAGATCTTGAGCGCAGCTTAAATGGTCTGTTGATATCACTGTATCATCAACTAAGTTGTCAGTAGCTTGCCTTATTTAGAAATTTGTATTCATATGTAAGCATGTTTACACAGTCCACTGTATGTAATATACTGAAATTTGAAATGCTACAAAAATGACTTAATTCATTAAAATTCAGGCCATGACCCAATAGCTTTCACAGCAAGACTATCGCACGATGTTGACCTCTTTGCTGCACAGACAGTGGTGTTCGATAAAATAATTCTGAATCTTGGAAACGCTTACCATGAAAGTTATGGACACTTCACAGCTCCAGTAAGAGGTGTTTACCAGTTTGCTGTATCGCTGTTAAACGACGGGAAAGAATCTTATTTTGCTTTGATGAGAAACGGAAACCAGGTGTTGTCAATGCTTTATATAAGAAGTGGTACCTTCTATTCCTCGTCGTCCATTGTTGTAGTGCAGTTAGAAGCAGCCGATGTTGTTTTTGTCAAGGCTACCAGAACTGCAAATTTAGACGAGTCTTATTATTGTATTTCAGTGGATTTCTGATTCAGTAATTGTAATAAAATTTCAAGAAGTCTAAATTCTAACATTGCATGTTAGAATATAACTGATTTAATTGAAGTAATTTCATAATTAAGAGAAATGCTTTCTTGTTAAAATTAATATACTTCTGCGTTATACTTTAATCAGTGTTGTTTAATGTATCTTGACAAGAAGTCTAGTATAAAATTGAATTTTTATTAAATTTGGTCACATGCATATTTATACTATGGATTACAAACCATTTGTTATTAAGAAGAACATTCTGGTTTTCTGTTTAGCCCTCTTTCAAATTTAGAGCGTATCTTAGACCCATTTTAGGAAGAGTGTCGTGGATTGATTTTTTCTTTATTGGAAATACATTACCATGTTTTCATTAAGAATTTTTGTTTTATGTTTCTCTATATATTTTAAAGTTAATTTACTCAGTCTTCCGCAACACCATAACCATACATACGGCATGAATTGGACAAATTTAATCTTATAACATGTATACATCTAAAAAGTAACAGATCTCTCTCTCTCTCTCTCTCTCTCTCTCTCTCTCTCTCTCTCTCTCTCTCTCTCTCTCTCTCTCTCTCTCTCTCTCTCTCTCTCTCTCTCTCTCTCTCTTTATGTTTTCTTGCGTATTGGTTTTTGGAAGGAAGAGTTTTTATGATCCCAGTGGACTTTCAAGGTTTCCTCATACTATATCCTTGAAAAAGATCCACAGTCCTTATGCTAAAAAATTAAACCTGATTTCTTTTTCAGTGACGTAGCATCGTTTTTGAAAGGGATAGGGGCAAATACAATTTTTTTTTACTTACCTGAAAAAGTTGACAAGAAAAAAAGGAAATTTTCCCAATCAATGAACATTTGCTATATTAAAAGTTATGTTTGAAAAAAGTTGCGGCCTTTGCCCCCCCCCCTCCCCGTTGGTATGTGGCTGCCTGTTTGTTTTTTGTTTTTTACCTAAGAATGTCTAGTACATGTACTACGACTTATTTAAGCAAACACTGCAGTTCTTCTCTAAAGACGAAAGATTACGAGTAATGAGACAGATATTAGACAAATAGATGTTGATATTTTGTATTGACTTTGATCTTTTCGAGGGTCGATTCTCAATCGCAGCGCCGCTTTAAACCTAAGACGTAAACATACATATAGGTAGTGACTGTTCTTCGCCAAGCGCTGGGCATTAGAAGTAAATGTCACGGGTTTTTCGGATATGACCTTAAAAACGTAGGTCCGGTGTCACGGTAGGCGTTGGCACGATAAAGAATTATTGAATGGGACGTTAAACAATATACAATCAATCAATCAATCAATCATTTTCGAGGTCCATGCCAGTGCCTGCTCTGTTCCTGATCTGTATTGCTTGAATGGGCTATTGAGTTTGAAAATGTTTGTTATCTCCATATTTTATTCACCTGATTATTACAAAAGAAATACATGCATCTCCTGAAAAAGAAAATTCAATAATACAATGTTTACATATGTATAGCTCTTATTTTTTCTTCAAAGCAGCAATGTTTAGCTCACGTCAGTCGAGGCTAAAGTGTCTGTGAATTTTTTTTATGATTAAGAAGGTTGGGGGTCAACAAATAAACCGTCAGATATAACTTCATTTTTAGATATAATATTTTAAGGTATCAACTATCATTTCACATAAAAAAAATTCCATACATTTTAGATTTAAAATATAATCATTTTTGTATATCTCGAAATGGAGCTTTTCTTCTAAAGAAGATCAATTTCGTTTAAAAATCCTCCCACCAGCCAGGTTAAAATTTCGTTGTCGTTAATCTTTACCAATATTTACTTCTTCTCCAGAACCACAGGCCTAATTTCAACCAAACTTGCCATGAAGTAGGTATCCTTGGTCAAATGGGATTTGTGTTTGTATAAAAAGGGTCAGGCCTTTTTCCAAGGGGATATAATTACGAATTAGTGAAACTTAAATGACATTGCTAGAAATTACTTTTCTTCTCAGAAACCAATGAGCCAGAAAAAACAACTTATATAGAAACATTCTCAGATGTTATTCTATGGATAAAATTTTGTCGAATTATGACCTTCGGAGTTAAGGTAGTTGCCACAATAGTCGATCAAATTTTTACATACATTGAGATTATTGGAAATTCTCAAGAACAGCCAAGTCATGCCTGGTCATTTTAAACGGAAGCATCCTTTAGTACTGACGATCCACATTTGATAAAATCATGCCCCCCTAGGGCAGGGTCGGGGCACAGTGGACTATCAAAGTTTAAAATAGGAATAGGAGTAGTTAAGAATATCTTTTAAAAAATCTTCTTCCCAAGAACAGCAAGCCATTATTGGTCAATTTAAATGGAAACATCCTGAAGTAATGTAAATTGAAGGTTTTTCCAATTATGACCCCTTCCCCTGAATAAGTTGGGGTCACTTATACATCATGTATAATTACTTGAACTTGTCCACACTGAACTAATGACTGCTTTTTTAACGTGCTCGGGTGGGCGATGTGGTTCCTCGGCCTGGCCTCTTGTCTTTATCAATAATAAAAAATAACTTCTTGAATACCTATGCTGCTAAGTGTCGTACATGAATGTAGAGAAGCCATTTGTCTGGAAAAAAAGATTTATTACCTCTGAACTTTTTTGCTTCGTTCGTGTCCAATTTTTAAAAGAGGAATATTTGTGCAAAATGTCATCTTTAACAGTACTTTTTGTTGTCGGACTGTGTGGAAAATTGTGTTTCTGCTTGAATCTGACGAACCATGGGAATGAAATTGCACACCTGAAACAGCTTGTTCAACAGCTGAATACTAGTCTTCATCAAATGGTCGCTGAAAACCGTAAAACGGCAACTAACAACAGAAATGAGATTAATCAACTGAAAAACGAAACAAGTCATCTGAAATCAAATTTCAACACACAAAGTAAGTTTATTTTAAATACATGTATTCCTTACAAATTATTCTTGCTGGTTTGAAAGGCAAACGTACATACAATTAGAATATATCGACATTTAAAGTCCATAAGAGAAATACATAGCAACTTAGTAATTTTACTAGGTCAAATACTTAAAAACGTATCGTATTTTAGTGATTTTGCACATATTTATGCTGATTAAAATGGCAAACCTACATACAATTAGAATACCAAGGTATATCGACAGTTAAAGTCCATAAGAGAAAACACATGTTATATTTATGCTACTAAAATTATTTTATCTGGCGGCTGCAAAATAAAAATAAGTTATCTAGCAGCATCCATATCTTTTTATTTGTTACCGCCAGGAAGTTACATGTATCTGGCGGCTGCTAGATAAAATATTGTTTCTACCTTGCACTAACTGGCTTCCATGCCCATTTAACCTGAAAAATTATTAGACGAAATAGAAATGGAAAGATATTTGAAAATAAACTGAAATAAACAAATTCCTTATTTAAGGTAGGAGTATTCTCATATTGCAAAAATTTGTATTTAAAAATTGATGAAATTTTCAAAGAATTCTGAAGACAATATCACTAATTGAAGGTATCAGTGAGATTAAATTTGACCATTTTATATTAGAGGCAAGGTCATGTCAAGATCATAACCTTTTTCTTAGACATCAAGAATACAAAAATACTAAAGTCAATCACACAATCCTTACTTGCAGTTCAAAAGATTTGAATGTTTTTCTTTTTCCATAAAAAGAGAGAAAAAATACAGGTTTTGGCTCAAATATGTACTAAGATTGGAAGCATTTAAAAGCGAATATAGTTCTAGTTTGTTTGAAAAATCATATTTATTTGATTTATTTTGAAAGTTAAGTCCCTTATTATTAATTAAACTTACATTAAATTAGTTTGTAAATTTCTTCAAGTCTTTGATTGTGTAAAAATTATAACTAAATTCATTGTTCTGTAATAAATTAAGAGGCAGAAAAGCAGATATTTCCATATGCCACCATTTCACCAAAAATATAGTCCCTGCTTATTTTCAAACACGGTTAACCTTTTTTTTTTGAAGTTGTACACTTGTAATAAAAAAAGAAAAAAGATCTTTTAATCTCTTTCATCCAAATATATAATTCGCATAAGCAAAAATACTTGAATATTTCATCTGGTCAAAATCCAGAGAAGAATCCTACCTCAACAGAAAATAAATTAATGCAATATATTTTTTTCATTCTTTAGGTCAAGGTCCAATTGCTTTCACGGCGGCATTAACGCTTAATACGGAATATTTGGCTGGGAACACGGTTGTTTTTGATAAAATAATTCTGAATCTTGGAAACGCTTACCATGAAAGTTATGGACACTTCACAGCTCCAGTACGGGGTGTGTTTCAGTTGGCAATCAGAAGTTGGACGGTTATTCGCTATTCGCTATTCGCTATTCGAATGGCGAACCGCAGGCTGTCTGCCGTTCGCTATTCAAATTACCGTAAATGTCCTAATAATTTTTTTTTCAAAAAACTTTAAAAACGCATTATAATCCGTGTTTAAGAAGAAAAGCAAAGACTTCACTTAAAGAAGACGACTGAGGACCCCAAACCAATGCAGCTAGCCTGACCAAAATGATGAATATTTAGCTAGCCTGGTCAAAATTGGATAAAAAAAACTGTTAAATACAATACCAAGTATTTTTACATCTTCAAATTTTTACCGGGGAGGGGTATGGGAGGGACCCTTTCACTGTTAAAAGGAATTTGTGTTACAAGACCGGGAACCCATTTAGCTAGCCCGGAGAAAATTGGAAAAAAACCGTATAATTCTATTATATGTATTTCTGAATAAGAGTACATCGCCCTGGGGTCTGGCTAACATCGAAGATCCCATATTTAGACCTTCACATTTTTACAAGGGAGGGGTGTGGGAGAGACCCTTCCACTGTCAAAGGGAATTTGTGTTAAAAGACCGGGAACCCATTTAGCTAGCCCGAGGAAAATTTAAAAAAAAACCCTTATAATTCTATTATATGTATTTCCTAATAAGGGTACATTGCCCGGGGGTCTGGTAAACATCGAAGATCCCATATTTAGACCTTCATATTTTTACAGGGGAGGGGTTTGGGAGAGACCCTTCCACTGTCAAAGGGAATTTGTGTTACAAGACCGGGAACCCATTTAGCTAGCCCGAGGAAAATTTAAAAAAAAACCTTATAATTGTATTATATGTATTTCCTAATAAGTGTACATTGCCCGGGGGTCTGGTTAACATCGAAGATCCCATATTTAGACCTTCATATTTTTACAGGGGAGGGGTATGGGAGGGACCCTTTCACTGTTAAAAGGAATTTGTG